ATAATCATCCTGTTTGTGCAGTTGGAACACTTTTGCTTTGGGGAGACTTTTCTTTCACACATGAAAAATCTAAATAAATATACAGTGACTGTTCTCTTGTGGAAAATCCCAAATAGAACTAAAACTGATCAGAAATAAATAGTCATTTAGCAAATGTTTCTTAAGCTCACACTGTGTGCAGGAACTGGACTACAGCTTGGACACATTCTCTGGACTAACAGGGCTCGCTCTTCAGCCCTCTGTGATGTGACAGTGCACTCACAGTTTCGTTTGTGTTCTGACTTCCACCCCTTCCAGAATGGGAACTGCTTGAGGGCAAAGTGCAGGTCTTGTTCATTCCTGAGTCCCCAATTTCATATACTGAGCATCTGGGGCATGCCCTGGCATGTTCTCGGGATATGCGTGAATTGCTACGCCTGAACCAATTCATTTACTTTATAGATGATAAATACCAGATGGACAGAAGCTTAAGAATAGACATTGGACCCAATAAAAGAGGACCATCATGAGGACTCAAACCCCAGTTTATGCTGTCCCAGTTTAGGGACCTTTTCACTCATGTTCTGCCTCTGTGGTAAATTCCAGAAAGTGGTTTATAAAAACAACCTACGTACTGTTTTGTCCCACTTCCTACAGCCACATGCAAAATAGGGGCAGATTACAGAGTCTGGCCTCTCATTTCAGTTTGCATCTTTTCTTTACAGGTTTTTACAGGACCTCAAGTGGTATTTTTTTTAATTCTAAGCATTCCACAAATCCTTATGTTGAAACCTTACTGCTTCTGAATGACACTTCAACAGAAAAATAAACATGAGTCTCAGCTCATGACTATTTTATTCCCTCAAGATCATTTCCTCGCAGGCAGGTCTGCCACATCAGCAGAGCCCACTCAGACATCTTGGTCACCACCACTTCAAAGCCTCTTTTCTGCATACCATTCCATGAGCGCTGGCTGACGGAGACTTGAAGACCTGGTACCGTCTCCTCCCACAACCACCGCCCATTCTTCCAGCTTATCTCTGCTGTCAGAGAAGAATGCCGCCTTCAGGCCTGCACATTCCGCCTGCAGCCCTTGAGGGAAGAACCCTCAGCAGAGTCAGCTGGCCTCCGGAGGGCAGAGCGGGGGCTCAGCTGGCTGAGCAGCCACTTGTCACCCGGGCCAGTGCTCCTCACCTCACCAGAAGCCGCTCTGACTCTGAACAGAGCGGACAGGATTCCTCGGACAGAACCAATTCTGGGTCCCAGGCAACCTGTATTAGGGGTATTTATTTCTCGAGTTCTGGGAATGAGAAGGGGACAGCAGAGGTCAGAAGCCCAGAAACTCTGCCCAGTGTGCTTACTTAGCTCATCAGCTGTGTTTACTTAGCTGTACCTGTGGGAGAAGGCCACAGTGCTAATGTCAGGGCAGGTGAGACCGACCTGGTTGACTGTACAGTTGAGCCCAGAGCCCAGAATGGAAGAGTGAGAATTAGGTCAGCCTTCCTTTTTAGGTCAGTGGGACTCATCCCGTGACCTCAGACAAGCCAATTTCCCCCTCTAGGGAGTTTTCTCCCTCTAAAATGGACAAACAAGGTCTAAAGTCACTTGTAAGGCCAAAGATCCATGACTCTGATTTTTATCTAAATCCAACAAAGTGTGGCCAAGGCTATAATTCTGGCTCATTTTTTTCCTTTCAGGTTATGTTTTTATGAACATTCTAACCTTGTGATCTTCTTCCAAGAGATCTTGCCCCAAAGATACATGAATGTGTAGGGAATCTGGGTTGGAAACTTCTTGATGACTCAACCCTCTCCATCCGCTTCCACCCCCACCCACCGTACCCCATCTCAGCCCTCACTGGAGCCCTTCTGATGCTGGGGTACCTACGGGCCTGGGAATTTTATGTTTACTGTTTTGAGTCCTGCTCCCTCCACCCTGTGGCACCATGGAGGACATTATGACTCACCATGTACTCTTCCCATTCATTCGCTGAATGTGTCTCCTGAGCCCCTGACTCCACGGTGGCACCTGGGCTACCGAGGACAGTGTGGCCCAGTCCTCAGGAAGTTTAGCCATAAGTTAGGGAGGAGCCACATCAATCCACCTAATGGCAGGGAGCCTGGGTCACCTGGGAGAGAGCACCAGGGGAGGGTCTGTTTGGATAAATCTGGAAGGGTGCCATAGCAGATGCTGTCAGTGCCAACCCACATCTCCTTGGGCTCCCCCTGGAGTCGCCCCGTCCATGTTCATGGCCGGTTGGGTGTGCCAGAATTCAAGCCGCAGGGAGAACCGCAGAGCTGCTGGGGAGACAGGTGGTGGTAAACGTCCTCGCTGCTTGCTGAAGCCTTTCTGAGGCGCGCTCTCCGATCCCTCAGAGGGTCCCAGCGGGCAGAGTGACCTGCTCCTGAACCCACCTGCAGTAACTTCCTTCCCCCTCCAGGCTTCTTGGGGCCAACTCCCAAATAAACCACCTGCCCCCAAGTCCTTATCTCAGGGTCAGCTTTTGCGGGAACCTGCAGTAGGTAAGGAGGAGTGAGCCCACGTGGAGAGCAAGGTGGTCAAGGGGAAGAGCACCCAGCCACACAGCACCGCTTGCATAAAGCCATGGAGGGCAGGAGGCGGCATGGCATGTGTGGTACTGGGAGGACATGCACCTGTTGGTCCTGGGACCTCAGCATTGTCTGGAGGGGATCCTCACGCATCTTTTTCTGACCTCCCAGTGGTGCTGGAAGGGAAGAAGGGTCTGGAGAAGGTGGCCAGGGCCTTCCTGAGAAGAGCCCTGTGGCTCTGCCCAGGCATCTGCCTCGGTTCCAGGCCCCAGGGGCCCAGGAAGTCGGCTCTGTGGCTTCTGAGAATGAGCCACTCAACTATGAAAGGGAATTTCCCCACTGCCCTGGCTTCTCGTGTGATTTGGGTGTATGTAAATGTTTGGAAAAGCCTCCCCTATGCTTACAGGGATCACAGTGTCAAATGCTGAGTCTATGGAAGGCGAAAGGCGACATACACCAGTGGTTACTCCAGACACACAAACAAGTTGTGTGTTCAAGCCCAGTCAGCCCTTGTGAGCCTCAGCTTCCTTATCTGTAGGGTGGATAATATGTACCTGATGAGGATTCAATGAGATAAAGCATATGGCATTAGGCTCAAACTACAGTAAGCACTCAGCTTTAAAAAGGGAGGTGGTAGTGACACGCAGAGTATACCCACTAGGGCAAGACCAACCTGCCACCTGGGAAAGCCCAGTAAGAAGACTGCCACGCAGGGTCTGCCACCAGGCTCCACAGCTTGAAAGTCCAAATGAGCAGGTGCCAAGACTGTGTCTACTCGGAAGGGGTATGACCATAGCAACAGAGTGCCTGGAGGGCTGAGCTCAGACATTGGACCAGACCATCTGGGCCGGGCCCCCACCATCACTGCTGAGCTAGCTAGCAAGCTCTGGGACAAGAGTTTGGCTCAGAGAGCCTGGAGCTCCAGGCATGTGCAGGGTGGTGACCTCAGGGCCTCTACAGACCCCTTGCCCCAACTGTGTACAGAGCAGTACCCCAACATCACAGCCTGGGGGCCAATTTTATAGGGGTCCCAGCTCCCTTCCTCCTCAGGGTCTCAGTTCAAATGGGTGTGTTTCAGTGGCTTTCACCTGTCTCCCCTGGGCAGCCCTGCCGTCCTCCCCAAGACCCTGCTGGCCTCAGGGGGTCCACCTCTAGGATGGACTTGGCTGACTTAACTCACAGACACTGATGCTTTAGCTGACCTGCTAGGTGCTCCCCATGCCCGATGAGTCAAGCAAGGGCAGCGCTAAGGCCCTCGCCTGAAGCCACCCACATGGCCTCTCACCTTCCCACCTTTACCTTGACATCTCCCTGCACTTGGCCTCCTGTGTCATCCAGGGACCAGGTTTCTACTTCTGAGGCCTGGGTGGTGAGCACACTGCCCAGATAGGGCTGCACAGGACAGGCCTTTCCACCCCCACTGGGGCTGGAGGGAGGAATGGTGCTGAGCAGCAAGGCCGGCACTTAGGCTGAAAGAGTATTTTTGAGTCTTTGAGTCTTTGAGTAGAGAGGGCCTCAAAAGAGACCCCCAGGGACCTGCAATTGTCCAATTAACCCAACATGCCAGTTCTGGAGTTCCTCAGGGCTGTTCAGATAAGGACTGACAGGAGGAAAGATCAGTCAAGTCCTGGTCTCAGGGTCTGCGTGGGCAACACTGAGAGTGATTAACCCCCAGCCAGGCTTCCAGTGTGGCTGGAGCACACTAGGGGCGAGGGGGGTGCACAGATTAAAGACCCTCAGACAAAATGGGAGAGAAAGACACTGTCTGCTCTAAACAAAGTAATTCAGCATCACTGTGTCTTCAGGGAGACCTGGGGCTCTTGGCAACCGGGATCAATCATGCCAGCCATTGGTGGGAATGTTCTTTCTACATTTCTGTCCTCTTTATTTAGTCCCATCCCTTGTGAGTGACAAACATCCCCATTCTCACTGAACTGAGTCCCAGAGAAACCAAATCAGCCGTTCTGGGGGACTCCCGGATCTGGTTCGAGCCTGCCTTTGCTCCCAAACTTCTCTAAAGACCCCGTCATTGGCCACAAATTCCTGTAAATCTTTGCAAGCCTTCATGTGGATTGGGCACCTTCCTCCTTGAAAGCAGGGGGCATCCTCCTCACACTGCCACACTATTCAGCCTCCAACCAGCCCAGGAAATGGGAACCACCTGGCAGGAGGATCAGGTTCCTGGGAGGTGACAGAGCTGCCTGCCTCACTGTGCCTGTTAACCATCAGCACTCTCCTTGGCAGGGAGAGCTGACTCCCTCCACTTCTCAGGCCAAAAAAAGGGGTGTTAGAAGGTGGAGATGGGGGAGGGCTGAGAGGAGGTGCCAGGCAGAGAAAGAGGGAAGTCCACGCCCAGAGTGGGAGGAGGGAGACAGACAGTGAGGGTGTTGGCTAAAGACCACAGTGTCTCAGTGGGAAAGGAGGGGCTGCAGGGGCTGGGGTACCTCAGACCCTCTCGGTGGGTGGGGCTGGGGACAGGGGTGTCTGGGAAGCAAGCCTCCCTCTGGAATTCAGAGTTCAGCCGCTGTCTAAGTCACAGGCTCCTGTAATCTAAGACAAGATTGAAGCCTGCAAAGGGGCATCCCCAGGGCCACACTCCAAAAGGACAGCTTTGGGGTGAGTATGACACACTGCTGGACACAGGGACTTCTGGCCTCAGTTTCTACACTCTTTCTCACTGCCTTGATCCCCAACTAGCAACAGGAAGGCCTTTCCCCAGAGCCTGGGTGGTTGCTCAGAGACACAGAGACAGCCAAAATAGGGATACACACCTGCAGAAATGGAAGGGTGTGAAACAGTGACCCCAAGGCCAGAGGCTGGCTGGAAATAAGTTTATAGCTCCCAAACTGGTCCATGGCCACTGGATCAATCCCTACCTGATCTCCCAGCAGCCTGTGTGACCTGGGTGCTCCAGAAACTCCACATCCAGCAGCCTGCCTGGGCTGGGCCACCTCAGAGCCCAGGCTTTTTTGGGACCCACGTGGGCTAAGAGATGCTGGACTCCAGTTTCCCTGCCTCACAGCTGTGTGGGGGCTCTTTTCTTCCTTGAAGGCAACCCTGAGTGCCCACTCAAGAAAGAGGTCTCAGAACTTATTCTAAAATATGACTTGCAAACCAGGGCACGTGTAAACTGGACCCACCTGTGACTGGGCAGCTCTAAGGAGAAAAACTGAGGCAACTGAGTTTTCTTCTGACAAAACCTTCCTCAAGGGCCACGTTTGTTCCAGCAGAGTTTCCTCCCAAGGGAGGGCGTTCACTGGCTTGATCTTAGCTGTTTAAGAAGCAGTCTGTGCCTCTGGGGAGAGTTTACAGCAATAAAGGGGCCATTCCCTCTCCTTCTAAAGCTCTTGGGATGGGGACAAGCAAAGGGAAATTGGGGACAGTTGAGGAAGGGAGGCCTTCCACAAGAGGTCACTTGTAGATGCCAAACCACAAGTTGTGGGGACAGGCATCGTTAGTAGAAGGAAGGGCAGGAGGTGATGTGGTGTGCGTGGGGGAGACATGGGGACAAGCAAACAGGGACAAAGTCGCTGCCCAAAGGATGATGCTGGGGAATATCCCCTGCCCTTCAGGGAACATCTGAGGCCTGTGCTTCCCCCCTCAGATCCCGGAGGTGGGGGACACATCTGACCCTTCGTATGAGGTTTCCGCTGGATTTAACGGGCCGTCCCGCTGTTCTCCCCCCAGCTACGCGCGATGTGGGCGGCCCTGCTGCTGCTGCTCGGGCCGCTGGCACTGCGCGCGAACCTGGCAGGGCCTCCCCAGGAGAGGCTCCCTCTTTTCCGGCTCACCCAGCAGGGCGCCTGGTGGACCGCGGCCATCAACGCCACCGCCTCGCCCTGCGAGGGGCTCCCGGTCGCGGGGGCCACGGCCTTGACCCTGGCGAACCTCAGCCTGGAGCGCCTACCCGGCTGCCTGCCACGCACGCTGCGCAGCCTGGACGGCAGCCACAACCTGCTGCGCGCCCTGAGCGCGCCCGAGCTCGGCCGCCTGCCGCAGCTGCAGGTGCTGACGCTGCACCACAACCGCATCGCCGCACTGCGCTGGGGCCCCGGCGGGCCGGCGGCGCTGCACACGCTGGATCTCAGCTACAACCGGCTGGCCGCCCTGCCGTCGTGCGCGGGGCCCGCGCTGCACAGCCTCCGTGCGCTGGCGCTCGCCGGGAACCCGCTGCAAGCGCTGCAGCCCGGGGCCTTCTCCTGCTTCCCCGCGCTGCGCCTCCTCAACCTCTCCTGTACGGCGCTGGGCAGCGGCGCCTACTCGGGCATCGCCGACGGGGCCTTCGCGGGAGCGGGCGGCGCGCCCCTGGCCACGCTGGAGGTTCTGGACCTCAGCGGCACGTTCCTCACGCGAGGTGAGTCCGCGGCGCCCCGGCCTCGCAGAGGCGGGCTGGGCAGATGCTCCCCGGGCGGGGCCGTGAACTTCCTCCACGCGTGACGCCCGGGTGCCTAGCCCACAGCGCGGCTCCAAAATTAGCCCACCCAGACGCCCAGAGCAAGCGCCACACAGGCGGTGTGCCTTCCTGGCTACTTAACGCCCTGAGGCCCAAGAGGTAGGAACTATCACCTATTTCCATTTTACATATGATGGCACCGAGGCACAGAAAGGTGAATGACTGGCTGGCGGCCTCCCAGCTCATTCAGCGGCACCTCCGAATCTGAACCCAGGCATTATGGGCCCAGAGCCCAGACCTTTAGCCACTCTATTCTACTGCCGCCCAACAGAGCTGGTAAATGCTTGTAGAATGGGGGAGAGGATGCCCAGTTTGGGGCTGATTCGTGGATGAACTTAGTACCAAATATGTAGTTAACATGAAGCAACAGACGTTCTGAGGACGAATTACTTGATTTTTCTATTCAGTGGGCTAAAATTTGTGTGCATGTCGAATCATTCAAACAAGATGCGGGAGAGAGATGTGAATACCGATTCTCCCGTGCCTGGCTTACTCTCCCTGACCCTGTTTCACAAGGTTGGCTTTAAAAAAACAAACACTTCATGGGTTCATCAAAAGTAACTGTTCCACCACAGACAAAGAGAAAAACAGACGGAGAACAGGAAATGGAAGGGAAGAGGGCCTCCGTTTATTGTAAGGGCAGCCACAAAATGAGGTTACGGGGCCTCCTCCAGCCTTTCTCCTCCTCTTCTCTTTCCTTACTGTTCTCAAAACTTTCCCTACTCCTGGGAGCCATCCCAGTGAAGTCTGGGCTCTTTCTGTGGAGGTCAACAAGAAGTGGGGGAAGGAGCAGGCTGTGAGACAGTGTCCCGGGTTCAAGTCCTGGCTTGGTCCCTTCCCAGCTGCGGGGCCTTGGGCCAGCCGTTCCCCTTTTGCCTTAGCTGCCTCAGGCTACAAGGAAAGACTGGGCCTCTCTGAGGGCTCCTCCAGCTAAAATGGCCTGTGCTTCTGAGATTCCCAAAGCTCTAACTGCCCGTGCTCAGCAATGGCCTTCATGTTTCACCCTGTCACTCTTACTGTACCCTGACGCCATGCCCGCCTCCTGGCTTTGGGCCCTTTCTGGGAAGTCTCCTCTGTGTTCCAGTTCAGGCAGGGTGGATCAGAGACCTGCCGAAGCTCACATCTCTCCACCTGAGGAGGATGCCCAGGCTGACGAGCCTGGATGAGGACATTTTCCAGATGACTCCCAACCTGCAGCAGCTGGATTGTCAAGACTCACCAGCACTTACCTCTGTCCACACACACATCTTCCAAGACACTCCTCACCTACAGGTCCTTCTATTCCAGAAGTAAGTGTTTCTGAGACACACCTGCATCACATAACCAATATCTGCCCATTACTCTATATGGAATAGGTGTGGCTATTTTATGGAACAAATCAGATTTTAATTCTCCTTCACCTGCTCTTTCAAATCCTCTCTGGAGCTTTGTTCTTCCTTATCCTTTGCGTGATATCTTGGGAAAATCCTCAATAGCCCATCAGTCTAATAACCATGCAACTCGGTCCTGTCCAGACTAATATTAGCACTCCAAACTCTCGTGCATGTAAAGTTTCCTTTAAGTCCAGGCTGAGAAACTTGCAGTGGGAAAAGGCGATGAGGCATCAGGTTATTCTCTGTCTCTGAATCCACCTGCTTCCCCAGGCATGCAAGGAAGCCCCTGCCAGGGTCTGAGCAGGTCTAGGAAGGAAAGGTGAGAGGATAGAAGGGTCCTACTTGCAGTTGGGATCAAGACTGGGGCCCTCTGGCCCAGTGAATATCCAAAGTGTCACTATACCCACCCCCTTCCCAAGAGCAACTGTCCTGACTTCAGCAGGAAGGACAGCGTCCCTTTGAAGGTAATCCCAGGATGCCTCCTTTCCTGGGGGCCCACATTGGGCCCTAGGCATCTCTGCTTCACCATCACTCAATGTAGCCACTGCTCTCTTTTCTCTGCTGGTTCCAGCCACGACCAGAGCACTTCACTTTAGGCCTTGTCACGAGGGACAGGGAGAGACAACACACAGAGCACTCAGCTCAGTGACTGGCACGCAGTGTGTGCTCTACAGCATCGTGAGGAGGACGGTGGTTGCAGTGCCGGGATGGTGATGACAGTAATGGGGTAATGGTGGTTGTCATGATATCATGTGGTGATGTTGGTGATGGTGATGATGTTGAAGGGAATGATGTCATCTCTGGCTCAGACTCCCTTTTGAGCTTCAGACGGATACAGCATTGTGGGTAAAGTTTCAGATGTGGAGCCAAACTGCTTGGGCTCAAATCTGGCTCCACCACTTGCTAGCAGAGAAGTTGGGGCAAGTTAGTTAATGCCTCTGTGGCTCAGTTTCCTCACAGTTTCCACTGTTAAATGCAGATAATGATCAAATCCTCCCTCAGTGGATTTTTGTGAGAGGAAATGCTTTCATCTGTGCCTAGAACAATAGCCCAGAAGAAGAGGTTCATAAATGCCCTTTTCCCTGCTGGGCCGTCTTTTCCCCTCCTCAGCATGGCCTGCTCCTGGCTCTCCTTGGCTCATCCACAAGCTCCCCCGGGAGGCTGTCTGTGCTAAATACTGGGTAATGCTGCCGAGGCTCAGCCAGCTCCCCACTGGGGAAGGGGTAGGCACCTTCCTGGCTGCTCTACCAACCGATCTCACACAAAGCCCTCTAGGGTCCCCTCTGACAACACTAAAGGCAGGAGAGAGAGGCCCTTGGCAATACTTCAGCAAAGAAAAGAGATTTTTTTGGAGAGCAACTGGAAACTTCTGTCCCACTGGGCTCTGTCATTTAGGATGCAGAGAACACCCAAATGCAGACAAGATTCAGGATGGGGGCCAGACTCCCCCATTCCTCAGGGTAGTAATTCAACTTTATCACATGCAAGTTGCATTGGGTGGCAGAAAGAGCCACCAGATAAGGACTAATTTTTCTTCTCTGTAAAATGAGCAAGATATTTACCTCACTGAATTGTCTTAATGGTGTCAGTAATATAATGTATATAAAGCACTCAGCAATGCTACCTACTCAATTTTTATAGGGTAATCCTTTTCCCTCTCCCCCCTCAGGCAAAAAAGAAGTATATTTCTTTTTATGATGAAGTGCTAAGTAAACTCTCATTCTAAGACTTCCACTCTAGCTGTGAACTCTGCTGAAAACAAGCATGTGCATCTATATAGTTACATTTGTGGATATGGCTAACATTTCAATATTAATGACACACACATATATCTGGTGTTCCAGAGGGGACAACTGTCAGGTTCCCATTGTCCAGGAGGGTTAGAGCAGATCTGGGTGGTGGGTCCTTCCTCACCCAGGACATCTGTGTCTCGCCCAGAGCAGCAGCAAAAGGCAGGTGGTTCCCAGGCAGATGCAGGAAAGCCAGACTTTGGTCAGAAGAGACCTGAAATTAAAGCATAGCTGCTGTTGCTCAAGATGAACTATAACTGAGTATGTGTAAAGGAGGCCAGGAGGTGGGGAGTGGAGACAATTCAGGTCAAAAGCTCTGTGAGACTTCAGGGAAGAAAGTGCAGAGAGGCAAGAGGGTACTTGGAGAATTCCTGGCATTGCTGGATGTGCTCGGCTATTTGCAAAATGGCCCGTTAATCTCACCCATCCCCGTAGACACACCCCTTTGCAATGTGATGTTGCAGCTCCTCCCATCCAGAGGTGGAGTCTATTTTTCCACCCCTTGAAGCTGGGTTTGCCATGTGACTTAGCAAAAGTGATATAAGTAAAGACTTGAAAGCAGTCAAGGACTGGAGCTTTCCCTCCCTAGCTGATGTGGACCTGTCTTGCCAATGGGTTTCAGCCCCCGGCAAGTTCACTATGGATTCAATGTGACCAAAGAAATGACAGTAGAACGTTCTTGGGGTGAAAGGGTTATACCCAACTTTCTTTCCATGGTGGCAGGTCAGTCACTAGAATCCCATCCACTCAGAGCAAGTCTGCATGCAGCAAGTCAGTCTCTGCCTCTGGGTCTCTCTACCCACGCAGCCATCTCAGTCTCTGCCTCGGGGCTGCCACCACTCCAGCCTCTGCTCTGCTCCCTGTAGCCTTGCAGCCGTGCCACCGTGTTGCCCAGAGCACTGGGTGGAGCTCTTTATATAGAGTCAGTAATGATGCATTGCCCACATGTGTGTAGTGAGCTAGCCAACCAGGGCCAGGTGAGAATCCTGTACACAGGAACCTTCACTTTATCCACAGGCCCCCTCTCCTACCATGTGTGCTAGCCCAGGCCAGCCTCCCGGGTGATTAGGGGATCGTGGAGAGAGGCCCTCAGCAAGTCCAATTGAGGCTCCATATTTATAAGGCCATCCTAGAACTTCCAGCCCAAGCTGAACTGGCCTAGACCACAAGAACCACTGAGCTAACCCACAGGATCATGAACAAAAATAAATATTTATTGTTTTAAGCCACTGTGGATAAAATGAGAGTTCCTGTGGCCAGGAGTCTCACCTGGCTGTGGTTGACTAGCTCACTGCACACCTGTGGGCAATACATGGCGTTGACTCTATAAAAAGAGCTCTGCCCAGTGCTCTGGGCACGACACGGTGGCAGGGCTGCAAGGCTGCAGGAGAGCAGAGCAGAGCAGAGGCTGGAGTGGCAGCAGCACCAAGGACAGACGCCCAGAGGACGGCTGTGTGGGATGACTGTGCAGAGAGGCCCAGAGGACAGCTGTGCAGGACAACTGTGCAGAGAGACCCAGAGGATGGCTGTTCAGGATGGCTGTGCAGACAGAGGGGCCCAGAGGACGCTGTGAGGACAGAGGGGCCCAGAGGATGGCTGTGCAGAGAGGCCCAGAGGCAGAGACCGGCTTGCTGCATGCAGACTCGCTCTGAGTGAACAGGATTTTAGTGACTGACCTGCCACCTGGAAATAAAGTTTGGTGTAACCCTTTCACCCCAAGAATGTTTTGCTGTCATTTGCTTTGGTCACACTGAATCCATAGCAAACTTGCCCAGGGCTGAAACCCTTTGGCAAGACAGCCACTAAGCTTTGGGGAAACTCCCTACTCAGCAGGTGTGCTAAATACTGGGTAATGCTGCCGAGGCTCAGCCAGCTCCCCACTGGGGAAGGGGTAGGCACCTTCCTGGCTGCTCTACCAACCGATCTCACACAAAGCCCTCTAGGGTCCCCTCTGACAACACTAAAGGCAGGAGAGAGAGGCCCTTGGCAATACTTCAGCAAAGAAAAGAGATTTTTTTGGAGAGCAACTGGAAACTTCTGTCCCACTGGGCTCTGTCATTTAGGATGCAGAGAACACCCAAATGCAGACAAGATTCAGGATGGGGGCCAGACTCCCCCATTCCTCAGGGTAGTAATTCAACTTTATCACATGCAAGTTGCATTGGGTGGCAGAAAGAGCCACCAGATAAGGACTAATTTTTCTTCTCTGTAAAATGAGCAAGATATTTACCTCACTGAATTGTCTTAATGGTGTCAGTAATATAATGTATATAAAGCACTCAGCAATGCTACCTACTCAATTTTTATAGGGTAATCCTTTTCCCTCTCCCCCCTCAGGCAAAAAAGAAGTATATTTCTTTTTATGATGAAGTGCTAAGTAAACTCTCATTCTAAGACTTCCACTCTAGCTGTGAACTCTGCTGAAAACAAGCATGTGCATCTATATAGTTACATTTGTGGATATGGCTAACATTTCAATATTAATGACACACACATATATCTGGTGTTCCAGAGGGGACAACTGTCAGGTTCCCATTGTCCAGGAGGGTTAGAGCAGATCTGGGTGGTGGGTCCTTCCTCACCCAGGACATCTGTGTCTCGCCCAGAGCAGCAGCAAAAGGCAGGTGGTTCCCAGGCAGATGCAGGAAAGCCAGACTTTGGTCAGAAGAGACCTGAAATTAAAGCATAGCTGCTGTTGCTCAAGATGAACTATAACTGAGTATGTGTAAAGGAGGCCAGGAGGTGGGGAGTGGAGACAATTCAGGTCAAAAGCTCTGTGAGACTTCAGGGAAGAAAGTGCAGAGAGGCAAGAGGGTACTTGGAGAATTCCTGGCATTGCTGGATGTGCTCGGCTATTTGCAAAATGGCCCGTTAATCTCACCCATCCCCGTAGACACACCCCTTTGCAATGTGATGTTGCAGCTCCTCCCATCCAGAGGTGGAGTCTATTTTTCCACCCCTTGAAGCTGGGTTTGCCATGTGACTTAGCAAAAGTGATATAAGTAAAGACTTGAAAGCAGTCAAGGACTGGAGCTTTCCCTCCCTAGCTGATGTGGACCTGTCTTGCCAATGGGTTTCAGCCCCCGGCAAGTTCACTATGGATTCAATGTGACCAAAGAAATGACAGTAGAACGTTCTTGGGGTGAAAGGGTTATACCCAACTTTCTTTCCATGGTGGCAGGTCAGTCACTAGAATCCCATCCACTCAGAGCAAGTCTGCATGCAGCAAGTCAGTCTCTGCCTCTGGGTCTCTCTACCCACGCAGCCATCTCAGTCTCTGCCTCGGGGCTGCCACCACTCCAGCCTCTGCTCTGCTCCCTGTAGCCTTGCAGCCGTGCCACCGTGTTGCCCAGAGCACTGGGTGGAGCTCTTTATATAGAGTCAGTAATGATGCATTGCCCACATGTGTGTAGTGAGCTAGCCAACCAGGGCCAGGTGAGAATCCTGTACACAGGAACCTTCACTTTATCCACAGGCCCCCTCTCCTACCATGTGTGCTAGCCCAGGCCAGCCTCCCGGGTGATTAGGGGATCGTGGAGAGAGGCCCTCAGCAAGTCCAATTGAGGCTCCATATTTATAAGGCCATCCTAGAACTTCCAGCCCAAGCTGAACTGGCCTAGACCACAAGAACCACTGAGCTAACCCACAGGATCATGAACAAAAATAAATATTTATTGTTTTAAGCCACTGTGGATAAAATGAGAGTTCCTGTGGCCAGGAGTCTCACCTGGCTGTGGTTGACTAGCTCACTGCACACCTGTGGGCAATACATGGCGTTGACTCTATAAAAAGAGCTCTGCCCAGTGCTCTGGGCACGACACGGTGGCAGGGCTGCAAGGCTGCAGGAGAGCAGAGCAGAGCAGAGGCTGGAGTGGCAGCAGCACCAAGGACAGACGCCCAGAGGACGGCTGTGTGGGATGACTGTGCAGAGAGGCCCAGAGGACAGCTGTGCAGGACAACTGTGCAGAGAGACCCAGAGGATGGCTGTTCAGGATGGCTGTGCAGACAGAGGGGCCCAGAGGACGCTGTGAGGACAGAGGGGCCCAGAGGATGGCTGTGCAGAGAGGCCCAGAGGCAGAGACCGGCTTGCTGCATGCAGACTCGCTCTGAGTGAACAGGATTTTAGTGACTGACCTGCCACCTGGAAATAAAGTTTGGTGTAACCCTTTCACCCCAAGAATGTTTTGCTGTCATTTGCTTTGGTCACACTGAATCCATAGCAAACTTGCCCAGGGCTGAAACCCTTTGGCAAGACAGCCACTAAGCTTTGGGGAAACTCCCTACTCAGCAGGAGCTAACCAATACCCTTCTGTGAGGCATCTTCCACAGGACTGGTGTTGAGCATCCTACAATCGCTATGGTCTAGCTGCAGTAGGATGTGTTCTAGGGTGTTCTCATTAAGAATTTCTGCCATTTCTTGTGGCTTGTCTGTAATAATAATACCATACTTTTGTACAGATTCAATTTATAAACACTTTCATCATCACACTCTTTCTGATATAACCAGTGGGCATGGGAGCATTGTCTCCATTTTGATATATCTGGGGGTCAATATTGACTGGGTTGGGTTGGTACCTCCAATTTACAGACACCAAAGTTTTGCCCAAATATTACCTAACCCCTAGTAGAACGGTCTTCTCATGACACCACCATGGCACTCTGGGAATCATTTTGACCAGAATGTAAAAGCCTGACTTAATTGGGTTTTTTTTGTATTTCAGCTGCAACTTGAGTTCCTTCTCTCCTTGGAGCCGGCATTCCTCCCAGGTGCTGTCTATCAGCCTCTTTGGCAACCCTCTCACTTGCAGCTGTGAGTTGTCCTGGCTCCTCATGGATGCAGAGAAGACTGTCCTAAGCAGGTAACACTTACGAAGCAGATGGCAGAGGGGTGAGCTGAAGTTCTTGCAGCTTACGTCTTACTCATGTAACCATGCTGGGCAGGTTGGGAGTGTGGGGCAAGATGGCTGTCCCCCCATGTGATCACACTCAGGGGTGGAGGTTCTGCCACCGTTCTGGAGGGGCAGTGAGCACGGAGGAGCAGACGGGAGGTTTCCATGGGTCAGACAGGAGCTGGTGCTCATCACTTCCACTCACATCCCATTGGCCAGATGTCAGCCAGCAGGCCTCACCTACTGCAAAGAAGGCTGGGAAATGTGGTCTAGCTGTGTGCCCAGCAGGAAAAAGAAACGAGCTAAGCATGCAGCTAGCTCTCAGCCAAGGTGTTATCACTGCCCCATTTTACAGACAAGCAGATTAGGACCCAAAGAGGGAGGTGCTTGCCCAGGTTCATGCAGCCACTGGGTGGAGGAGACAGGATCTGTCTCCTCCAAACTGTGCTCTTAATCCCTGGGCCCTACTGAGCCTCCTGGGTGGAGCCTGGCCGCCTGCATCATTCAGTCCAAGGCCAGTGGGCTTGCAGAGCTCTTGCGGGAGAGGAGAAAAAGAAGTCCCGCAAAGACTTCCTATTGGCTGTTGGCTGAAAGAGCTGTTTGGCACCCAGGCTGGCCCCCAGAAGCTGGGGGCTGTGGACTCCTCTTGAGCACACTCAGACCAGCTTCACCAGCTAACCTCTCCTTGCAGCTCTCTGTGGGAGACCCCCCCACTCTGTGTGATTCACTTCTCACCTCCTACCTGATGCCAGCTGTGAAGTGGGCTCAGTCTGCACCCCCTCCCCTTCCCATTGCCTACAAAGACTAGCACCCAGGCCCCTTGCATGCAGGATCTCACTGTGGTATTAATGAGGAGGGTGAGAGTGCAGGCTCTTCACACCACATACTACTGTTGACTTGGACTGTGTTACTTAACCTCTCTGTGCCTCTACCTCCTCATTGCTAAATTGGGGATAATAACGCCTACCTTATAAGGTAGTGCAAATTAAATTAGTTGATACAGTGAGGTGCTAACAATAGTGCTTAGCACATGCAATCACTCAAAAAACCCAATCTAGTCTGAGTATTATTACTAGCCCTCACAGCCAGGAAGCAGATGGGTGAGAAGAAAATGGCAGTCAATACTCAGAGGATCTGGGCTACCTTTCACAGTGGGGTTTAGGCTGTGCTCCTTGCCAGCCATGGTATCTTGGAAGATTAGTTCCTCTTTCTGAGCTTCCAGTTTTCTTCTCTGGCAATGGGAGTGATGACAGGATCCTCCTCCACAGATCGCCCTGGGGTCAGTGAGATGATGCAAGCAGAGTGTGCCATGTGGTACCTGGCAGATGTGTTGAAAGGGCTCGGGGAGAGGGACTGTCAGCCCCGAGAACTCAAAGCCCAGCACAGAAGCAGCCTTGCTGCCTAACACCTTCTAACTGGCTGGCCTCCCCTCTAGGGCAGCAGACACGGTGTGTACAGCAGCAGCTGGATCCGCAGGCACCTTCCCAGCCAGTCTTTCACTCTCCCAGCTGCCCAGTATGTGCCCTTCAGACCAAAGCACCCCACTCCTTGATTCCAGCCCACCTTCCGCTGGTCCATCCAATCAACCTGGGAGAGGCCGACAGAGTGTCGCCCTGACCCCCTCCCTCCCAGTGGATTTCCCCACAGAAGCACGAACTGCGTGGCCCCACTGCGGTGTCAGTGGAGGGACTACCCCTGCTACCGCCACCTCTCTGGCAGATTCCAGTGACTCCGGCATCCCACGCATGGCTGCAAGCACAGCCGGGACGGAGCACCAACCTACCCTCATCCGGGAGCCTGTCTGGGCCGCCTCCACCCCACCGACCAACGAACCCCTTGGCCTCCTCCCTCCCTCCCCGAACCCAGTGAGCACGCCCCAGCCTGGCCTGAGGACACAGGCCTCCCTGCAAGCTCCCCACCCGAGTCCTTCCGAGGGTGCGATTCCAGTCGTGCTGTTGGACGACTACAGCGAGGCGGAGGACGGGGAGGAGGTGGCGATGCCTCCACAGGCCACGCCCTGTGATTACCACCCCTGTAAGCACCTCCAGACCCCGTGCGCCGAGCTACAGAGGCGCGCGCGGTGCCTGTGCCCCGGCCTCAGCGGGGAGGACGCCGTCCCGGACCCTCCCAAGCTGCAGGCGGTGTCAGAGACCACCGACACGTTCGCGCTTGTGCGCTGGTGTGCCCCCAACTCGGTGGTGCGTGGTTACCAGATCCACTACTCCGCCGAGGGCAGGCCCGGGAACCAGTCGGTAGTGGGGGACATCTACGCCACGGCGCGGCAGCACCCCCTGTACGGGCTCTCGCCAGGCACCACCTACCGCGTGTGCGTGCTGGCGGCCAACAGGAAGGGCCTGAGCCAGCCGCGGGCCCCGGGCCGCCGCGCGCCATGTGCCGCCTTCACCACCAAGCCCAGCTTCGTGCTCATCTTCGCGGGGCTGTGCGCTGCCAGCGGCCTGCTGCTCGTCAGCACCCTGCTGCTTTCCGCGTGCCTCTGCTGGCGACGCCGGACGCCGCGCCGGCGCTCCGACACGCACCTGGTAGCCTACAAAAACCCAACCTTTGACTACCCGCTGAAACTCCAGACCTTCAATTAGCCCAGCGCCCCTCTCCAACCGAACTCGAGCTGAGAAACTGGCCACCTGCGTAAGGAGATGATACAGAGGATCCAAAATGGCCCTGTTTGCTCTAAAGGTCTCCAGTTCCCATGAAATCAGGATTCTTCAGGCACTCTGGGAACTTGTCCTGTCGCGTCTCAGTTCAAGGAACCACTGCCTTCCCTTCCTCCTACTTCCCTGTTCCCAGAAACGTCAGGGTTCAAGCCAGGCCACTTCACTGCCACTGAGCATTCTTGTGTTTTTATTTGGGTTTTTCAGCAGTCAGTGCCCCTCCGTGTCCAGTAGAATTGTTTTGGAATTAGGAAGAGCTAAAACAAATCCTATAATCCAGCCTCTTTTGCCATGTTGGAAGACATCCTCCTTTCAGGGTTAAGTTCCCTTGCGGTCAAGTTCTGGCTAAGGCCGGTGTTACTCGCCGGGATTCTTCTCGGAGAACTGGGGTTGCCGGAGGATGACTGGTTGTTTCCCGAGGTCTTGCAGGTTTATTAGTTGCATACCAGGATATGGAAAAAAAAAAGTGCTTCCAGCTTTATACATAAAACTACTCTTCTGGGAACATTTATAAGACAGGAAAAGCCTGTCCTTTTTAAAGTCAATGTTTACTGCACTTCACTTAAGACTAAGTAGACAAAGGAACTATGAACTCCTGTTTTTAAGGAAGCCTTAAAAACGTTCTCACTTTCAATAACTTTTTTTTTAGAAGAAATGAGCAAAAGAAAACCTCAAGGCTGTAGGTAGAGACCAAAGCATTTCTCTGTTCCCTGCTCCATCAGTGTCTTCATGATTCATATTGCCTATGGGATATGTCTTACAACACCCTTTTTCACGTTCATACAACCCCAAAGCGAAAAAATGATCTTACAAAGTTGTAATGTTGACTGTATTTCTAAATTGTAATGTTCTCCATTAGCATGCAGTTTCCTGTGGCTACTGTAACAAAGTACTGGAAGCTGGGTGGCTTAAAACAACATACATACATTCTCTCACAGTTCAGGCCAGAAATTCACAATCAAGGTATCAATAGGTTCGGTTCTTGCAGAAGACTCAGAATTGTCTCACACACACCTTAGCTTCTGGTGGTGGCTGCCAATCCTTGGTGTTCCTCGGCTTCCGGTTAACATAACTCCAATTTATGCGACCATGGTCTCACAGCATTTTTTGTGTGTCCAAATTTCCCTTTCTTCAAAAAAATTTTCCCCCCAGCTCTACTGAAATATAATTAACATAAAACATGTAGATTTAAGATGAACATGATAATTGGATACACATATGTACTGGGAAATTTATGTAAGCTGTTAACATATCCATCACCTCACAGTCAGTGTGCGTGTGGTGAGAACTTTTAAGATGTACTTTCTTAGCAACTTTAAAGTATACAACACAGTATTGTTAACTGTAGTCATCATGCTGTCTTGTGGGGATCATCAGATCCCTGGAACTTACTTATCTTGTACAAATTTGCACCATTTGATGACCTTCACCCATTTGGCCCCATGCCCACCCCTGGGAACCACAATCTACTTCTCTTTGAGTGTTCTTTTTAGACTCTATATAAGTGAAATCATACAGAACTTGTCTTTCTCTGACTTATTTTACTTGGTATAATGCCCTCAAGTCCCATGTTGTTGCAAATAGCAGGATTTCCCTTTTTTATGGTAGAATAATATTCCATTGTATATACAGACACTACATTTTATCCATCCATCCACTGACAGTTTGTTTCCATGTCTTGGCTATTGTAAATAATGCTGCAGTGAACATGGAGGTGCAGATCTCTCTTTGAGATAATGATTCTACCTCCTTCAGATACATATCCAGAACAAATCTCCCTCTTCTTATAAGGACAATAGGCTTTAGATTAAGTCCCCCCACAAATCTAGTATCACCTCATCCTAACTTTACAACATCGGCAAAGACCCTGTTTCTGAATTAGGTCACATTCACAGGTGCCAGGGGTTAACACTTGAACTTATCTTTCTTGGGAGACACAATTCAACCCAACCCACAACACCATTTATTTCTACTGTAAAAAGTAATAAAGTTTGATTCCCATGTATCTTTTGTTTCCAAAGTGTGCTGCAGTACAAAAAAACATGCTGCAGAAACAGTGTATCCAAGTTTGACCTGAATAACTAAACTGTATTATATATTCCTAGGTGTTTCAAGTTTATATTCTATGTAGTATCACTAGGTAGATCCCTAGTGATACTACATATGTGACCAAGAAAACTGGACTAAGTGATTTAAAAATATCTATAAGCTCCTGATGAAAAATGGCAAAGCAAAAGCCAAAAATGTGGGTAATCAGCTTCAAGTCTTTAGCATGAAATGAAATTATCCCAAAGCCTTTTTTGCCTTGCTATCAAAATAGAGTGTTATATAGAAGCATCAAAATGAATCATGTCATGTCATGAATGTCATGCCGTTAGTCTGCACGCATGAATATACACTCAAACATGCCTAATACAATTCCACTATGTTTTGTAAACTAGCAGTTTACATATTTTTTGTTTTGTTTTGTTTGGATATCATTAATCTACAAATTACATGAGGAACATTATGTTTACTAGACTCCGCCCATCACCAAGTACCCACCACATACCCCATTACAGTCACTGTCCATCAGCATAGTAAGATGCTGTAGAATCATTACTTGTCTTCTCTGTGTTGTACAGCCCTTCCCGTGACCCCCCCACATTAAACATGCTAATCATAAAGCCCCCTTTCTTCCCACCCCCTTATCCACCCCATCCTCCTCAGTCCCTTTCCCTATAGTAACTGTTAGTCCATTCTTGGGTTCTGTGAGTCTGCTGCTGTGTTGCTCCTTCAGTTTTTTCTTTATTCTTACACTCCACAGATGAATGAAATCATTTGATACTTGTCTTTCTCCACCTGACTTATTTTACTGAGCATAATACCCTCTAGCTCCATCCATGTTGTTGCAAATGGCAGGATTTGTTTTCTTCTTATGGCTGAAAAATATTCCATTGTGTATACATACCACATCTTCTTCATACGTTCATCTACTGATGGACACTTAGGTTGCTTCCATTTCTTGGCTATTGCAAACAGTGCTGTGATAAACAAAGGGGTGCATATGTCTTTTGCAAACTGGGCTGCTGCATTCTTAGGGTAAATTCCTAGGAGTGGAATTCCTGGGTCAAATGGTATTTCTATTTTGAGTTTTTCTGAGGAACCTCCATACTGCTTTCCACAATGGTTGAACTAATTTACATTCCCACCAGCAGTGTAGGAGCGTTCCCCTTTCACCACAACCTCGCCAACATTTGTTGTTGTTTGTCTTTTGGATGGTGGCGATCCTTACCACAAGTAAGGTGATATCTCATTGTGTTTTTAATTTGCATTTCTCTCTGATGACTAGTGATGTGGAGCATCTTTTCATGTGTCTGTTGGCCATCTGAATTTCTTCTTTGGAGAACTGTCCAGCTCCTCTGACCATTTTTTTATTGGATTATTTGCTTTTTCTTTGTTGAGGTGCGTGAGCTCTTTATATATTTTGGATGTCAACCCTTTATCAGATCTGTCATTTATGAATATATTCTCCCATACTGTAGGGTACCTTTTTGTTGTATTGATGGTGTCCTTTGCTGTACAGAAGCTTTTCAGCTTGATACAGCCCCACTTGTTCATTTTTGCTTTCGTTTCCCTTGCCTGGGAAGATATGTTCATGAAGAAGTTGCTCATGTTTACATCTAAGAGATTTTTGCTATGTTTTTTTCTAAGAGTTTTATGGTTTCATGACTTACATTCAGGTCTTTGATCCATTTCGAATTTACTTTTGTGTATGGGGTTAGACAATGATCCAGTTTCATTCTCTTACATGTAGCTGTCCAGTTTTGCCAACACCAGCTGTTGAAGAGGCTGTCATTTCCCCACTGTATGTCCATGGCTTATTTATCATACATTAATTGACCATATATGTTTGGGTTAATATCTGGACTCTCTAGCCTGTTCCACTGGTCTGTGGGTCTGTTCTTGTGTCAGTACCAAATTATCTTGATTACTGTGGCTTTGCAGTAGAGCTTGAAGGTGGGAAGTGAGATTCCCCCTGCTTTATTCTTCCTTCTCAGGATTGCTTTGGCTATTTGGGGTCTTTTGTGGTTCCATATGAATTTTAAAACTATTTGCTACAGTTTGTTGAAGACTGTTGTTGGTATTTTGATAGGTATTGCATTGAATCTGTAGATAGCTTTAGGCAGGATGGCCATTTTGACAATATTAATTCTTCCTAGCCAAAAGCATGGAATGAGTTTCCATTTGTTAGTGTCCTCTTTAATTTCTCTTAAGAGTGTCTTGTAGTTTTCAGGATATAGGTCTTTCACTTCCTTGGTTAGGTTTAGTCCTAGGTATTTTATTCTTTTTGATGCAATTGTGAATGGAATTGTTTTCCTGTTTTCTCTTCTGCTAGTTCATTGTTAGTGTATAGGGAAGCTACAGATTTCTGTGTACTAATTTTGTATCCTGCAACTTTGCTGAATTCAGATATTAGTTCTGGTAGTTTTGGAGTGGAGTTTTTAGGGTTTTTTATGTACAATATCATGTCATCTGCAAATAGTCACAGTTTGACTTCTTGTATACCAATCTGGATGCCTTGTATTTCTTTGTTTTGTCTGACTGCCATGGCTAGGACCTCCAGTGCTATGCTGAATAACAGTGGGGAGAGTGGGCATCTCTGTCTTGTTCCCAATCTTAGAGGAAAGGCTTTCAGCTTCTTGCTGTTAAGTATGATGTTGGCTGTGGGTTTGTCATATGTGGCCTTTATTATGTTGAGGTACTTGCCCTCTATACCCATTTTGTTGAGAGTTTTTTTATGAATGGATGTTGAATTTTGTTGAATGCTTTTTCAGTGTCTCTGGAGATGATCACGTGGTTTTTGTCCTTTTTGTGGATGTGGTGGATGATGTTGATGGATTTTCAAATGTTGTACCATCCTTGCATCCCTGAAATGAATCCCACTTGATCACGGTGTATGATCCTCTTGACATATTTTTTATTTCAGTTTGCTAATATTTTGTTGAGTATTTTCACATCTGTGTTCATCAGGGATATCGGTCTGTAATTTTCTTTTTTGGTGGGGTCTTTGCCTGGTTTTGGTATTAGAGTGATTCTGACTTCATAGAAATGAGTTTAGAAGTATTCCTTCCTCTTCTATTTTTTGGAATACTTTAAGGAGAAAGGGTATTATGTCTTGTCTATATGTCTGATAAAATTCAGTGGTGAATCCTTCTGGCCTGGGGGTTTTGTTCTTGTGTGGTTTTTTGATTACTGATTCAATTTCATTGCTGGTAATTGGTCTGTTTAGATTTTCTGTTCCTTCCTTCGTCAGTCTTGGAAGGTTGTGTTTTTCTAGGAAGTTGTCCATTTCTTCTAGGTTTTCCAGCTTGTTAGCATATAGATTCTCATAGTATTCTCAAATAATTCTTTATATTTCTGTGGGGTCTGTCATAATTTTTCCTCTCATTTCTGATTCTGTTGATTTGTGTAGATTCTCTTTTTCTCTTAATAAGTCTGGCTAGAGGCTTATCTATTTTGTTTATTTTCTCAAAGAACCAGCTCTTGGTTTCATTGATTTTTTTCTATTGTTTTATTCTTCTCAATTTTATTTATTTCTTCTCTGATCTTTATTATGTCGCTCCTTCTGCTGACTTTGGGCCTCATTTGTTCTTCTGTTTCCAGTTTCAAAAATTGTGACTTTAGACTATTCATTTGTGATTGTTCTTCCTTCTTTAAATAGGCCTGGATTGCTATATACTTTCCTCTTAGAACTGCCTTCACTGCACCCACAGAAGTTGGGGCTTTGTGCTGCTGTTGTCATTTGTCTCCATATATTGCTTGATCTCTATTTTAATTTTGTCATTAATCCACTGATTATTTAGGAGCATGTTATTAAACCTCCACGTGATTGTGAACCTTTTTGTTTTCTTTGTGCAATTTATTTCTAGTTTTGTACCTTTGTGGTCTGAGAAGTTGGTTAGTAGAATTTCAATCTTTTTTAAATTACTGAGGCTCTTTTTGTGGCCTAGTATGTGATCTATTCTGGAAAATGTTCCATGTGCATTTGAGAAAAATGTGTATCCTGCTGCTTTTGGGTGTAGAGTTCTGTAGATGTGTGTTAGATCCATCTGTTCTAGTGTGTTTTTCAGTACCTCTGTGTCCTTACTTATTTTCTGTCTGGTGGATCTGTTCTTTGGAGTGAGTGGTGTGTTGAAGTCTGCTAGAATGATGCATTGCATTCTATTTCCTCCTTTAATTCTGTTAGTATTTGTTTCACATATGTTGGTGCTCCTGTATTGGGTACATAAATGTTTATAATGGTTATGTCCTCTTGTTTAGACTGACCCTTTATCATTATGTAATGTCCTTCTTTATCTCGTTATTTGTTTTGATACAAATACTTTGTCTGATACAAGTACTGCCACACCTGCTTTTTTCTCCCTATTGTTTGCATGAAATATCTTTTTTCATCCCTTCACTTTTAGTCTGTGTATGTCTTTGGATTTGAGGTGAGTCTCTTGTAAGCAGCATATAGATGGGTCTTGCTTTTTTATCCATTTAGTGACTCTATGTCTTTTGATTGGTGCATTCAGTCCATTTACATTTAGGGCGATTATTGAAAAATATGTACTTATTGCCATTGCTGGCTTTAGATTAGTGGTTACCAAAGGTTCAAGGGTAGCTTCTTTACTATGTAACTGTCTAACTTAACTCGCTTATTAAGCTATTATAAACACAGTCTGATGATTTATTTCTCTCTCTTCTTATTCCTCCTCCTCCTCCATTCTTTTTATGTTGTGTTTTATTCTGTACTCTTCTGTGTTTCCTTTGACTGCTTTTGTGCATAGTTGATTTTATTTTTTGCCTTTAGTTAGTATTTGGTTGGTCGCTTTCTCTGCTGTGATTTTATTTTCTCTGGTGACATCTATTTAGCCTTAGGAGTGCTTCCATCTAGAGCAGTCCCTTTAAAATATCCTGTAGAGGTGGTTTGTGGGAGGCAAATTCCCTCAACTTTTGCTTGTCTGGGAATTGTTTAATCCCTCCTTCATATTTAAATGAATCGTGCTGGATACAGTATCCTTGGTTCAAGGCCTTTCTGTTTCATTGCATTAAATATATCATGCCATTCTCTTCTGGCCTGTAAGGTTTCTGTTTAGAAGTGTGATGATAGCCTGATGGGTTTTCCTTTGTAGGTGACCTTTTTTCTCTCTCTGGCTGCCTTTAATATACTGTCCTTGTCTTTGATCTTTGCCATTTTAATTATTATATGTCTTGGTGTTGTCCTCTTTGGGTCTCTTGTATTGGTAGATCTGTGGGCTTTCATGGTCTGAGAGACTATTTCCTCCCCAGTTTGGGTATGTTTTCAGGAATTATTTCTTCAAAGACACATTCTATCCTGTTTTCTCTCTCTTCTTCTTCTGGTACCCCTATAATGCAAATATTGTTCTGTTTGGATTGGTCACTGTTGGAGACGGTTGAAACCCAAAGGGAACTGAGAGAGGACAGGTGAGAGACTGGGGTGAAAGAACGGTCAGGGATAAGGGAGTTCACTAAGAATAGTAACAAGTCCTAGATGTTGAGTCTGAGTGTGCTGAGATAGAATCTATCCTGAAGACAGAGTATGCTTGTTTTGTAAAAAAGTATATCAATACTCAAGCACATGTTTCTTGATCCCTGGTTAACCTGCCCTTCCTGAGTGTGTATAAAAAGAGGAGAATAATGGCTATAGGTTATGTTCCAGTTTGACTGGGCATCCTCTCAGAGTGAGTTGTACATATATTCAGCTCCACGCCTCCCCTTTGAGACTGTTCGACTTTGACAGCAGGCACCGTCAGGTCACACAGTTCTCTTAATATTCTTACATTCCTGGAGACCGTTTTCTCTCTCTCTGCCTTAGCTTCTCTGTATTCCTGTTCTGATTTCTATTCCATTAACAGCCTCTTGCACCTCATCCAGTCTGCTTTTAAGTCCTTCCAGAGATTGTTTTATTTCTGCATTCTCCCTCCTGACTTGATCCCTTAGCTCTTATATATTTCTCTGCAGGTCCATCAGCATGGTTATGACCTTTATTTTTTATTCTTTTTCAGGGAAATTGGTTATATCTATCTCTCCAGGCACTCTCTCGGGGGTTGTCTGGGTAATTCTGGACTGGACCCAATTCTTCTGCCTTTTCGTGGTGATAGAGATAGTCACAGGCAGGTGGTGCACTTATCAGCTGGGAGAACAAAGTCCCTTCCTGCTTGCTGGTCACTTTGTCTTTCTCCGCTGCCTGTGTCGGTTACCCGCACACTGGGAGCAGAATCCAGGTTAATCCCTTGAGTCGCTGTGGGCGGGGCAGCCCAGAGCCCTGCAGAGAGTGGCAGGTGCACTGGGTGTAGGTGTGCTCTCCTTTGAGAACAGCACCCCTTTGTACCTTGCCCCAGCTTCCTCTGACTGCGCTGGGCAGCTGCACACCAGTGGCGGCCTCTGGATCTGGCCCGGGTAGCTGCGCACTGGGAGGAGACTCTGGGCAGTTCCTGTGGGCATGACTGCTCTCTGGCTCCTCAGCCACTGTGGCGAGGCCACGCCAGCCAGGGGAACAAATGGCAGACTGCTTATTGCCATGAGGGACTTCAGGGCCACATTGCCACCCAGGGGTCTGGGGCGCCTGAAGTTCCTCAGGATTCCCAGCCTGTTGGGCTGAGTGTGCTGGGACGCTTCCATTTCCCTAGTATCCAGCACACCACGCACTATGTGTCTGTGCTCCTGGTGCGGATGACTAGGGCTGGGTATTTAGCAGTCCTGGGCTTCCACTCCCTCCCTGCTCCGACTCCTTTCCTCCCACCGGTGAGCTGGGGTGGGGGTAGCACTCAGGTCCCGCCTGGCTGTGGCTTGTGTCTTACCTCCTTCGTGAGATGCTGAGTTCTCGCAGATGTAGATGTAGCCTGGCTGTTGTACTGTATCCTCTGGTCTCTCTTTTAGGAATAGTTGTATTTCTTGTATTTTCAAATATATGTATGTTTTTGGGAGGAGATTTCCACTGCCCTAATCATGCCGCCATCTTGGCTCCTCCCTTCATTAGTTTTCATATTTTTTAATAGTTCAGTATTCAAACCCTGAGCGGACTTGCACCATTTTTCTAAGGGTTGATGTAGAAAAAGTATATTAACCAGAGCCAGATAAAGAACTTAGTAATAAACAGACTATGGGTCCAGTCCATAAGTAACTCCAAAGAGCACCAATAATAAGCATAATAAGTGCAAAATTCATATTTTTCCCGTAACTACTTATTTCAAGTTCTCCCTTCCTTAAACCACTGCCTTTGTGTGCTCACGCTGCTAGTGCTGACATGCTCATTGTGTCTCTTGGGTGGTCAACAGTGGGACTTCCACCTCCAGCCTTACTGCCTCCCAGGCTATGAGACTACACAGGAGGTTCCAAAAAGGGAGAATGGCCAGCCATACACTACCCTCTCTCCCCTCACACCACTCTCCATCTGACTCAGGGGCAGTGGCCCTGGCTGCAGGCCTCAGTGTGTTCCCAGCCAAGGACAGCTCTGCAGCTAATCTGGGAACAAGAAGGCCAGGACTAGAAGTCATCAAAGAGGCACACTGATCTAAAGAACCCTGCCCGCTAAGAGGCATGAGTATTGCTTGTAACTTCCCATGTTAATTTAACACAGCTCAACAGGCTGTGTTTGGATAATTTCACTGCACAATTCCATATTACATTTGGGTCAAAAACCAGGACAATGGGTGGCAAATAGGCCTCCACTATTAAGAGAAAGCAACCAGCAGTAGCCTTTGTCTTCATCATCTCTCCCCCTGCACCTCCCACTCTCATAAACAATGTAGTGAGAAAAAGGGATTTTAAGTCAGATGGTCCCAAACCAATTATTTTTACAATATAAGTGGCATGATCTGCATGGACTGTATGAATCAGAAAACTTATATAATAGCCCAGGGCCATAGCATGCTCCACAGACCAACCCGACTGAAGGTACACTTTGTTTTCCAGCTCTTTTATTCCTTTAATATCTTAATAAAAGAAGATTCCCCCAAGTTTAAAAAACCTTTGAAAAATATACAGTTTCATATAATTTACATAACATATGAGTACATGTTCCAGTATTATACAAACACTACTATGTTAGAAACCCAGAAAAGGCATGATGTTACTCACTGCCTCCTGGATGGTGCAGGCTAGCGGACATGTTCTCACATTCCATCTTTGTTATGTGTTATCCTAAACTATTAGGCACCTGAGAGGTTGGAAGACTACTGACCATAAACTTCAATACCTTCTACTTTGATCTAAGTTACTATCTTCAAAACTTACTGCACTTTAAATATCTTTACCGGTTTACTTCATCCACAACTAAGCCACCTTTATTGTCTTTATCCTAAAAATGATCAAATATTAACCACATGAACTATTAATGTATACAGAGATCCAAGAGTCAAACATAAAACTGTGTAGCCAAGTTGTATACGATGTTCCCTAGGAATGCAGGAAATTCCCTAGTGCTTTGTAAGCAATGTAAATTCTATTAAGAAGTGGCAACTCTTCAGTTTCCATGCTCTGGACTATCTTTTTAAAAACTTTTTAAAAAAGACAATGATTGGAATAACTGATACCTTATAAATTAAGAAACCTAAGATAAAAAAAACTCTAAATTATGGTTTTATTTGTATTTAAAAAATACATTGGAAATTCTGCATATGCCCATGATCAAGCTTATTTTCAATGTACATTACTTAAATTTTGATGGCATGATTTGTTCTAACAAGTCCTTTTTCAAGCAGAACTTCGAAATAGGGAAACTCATGTAGATTTCCACTGGCCCTGCTGCCGATGATGCACATTGTTCACTTGCTAATGATGATGGAGACTTTCATCTGCCTTTTATTACCTGAATAGTTTTTCGACCATAATGATAATAACTGTAAGCTGATGCAGCTGTGGTGAAAGCTGTAAAACACCTTTTATGGAAGGAGAGAAAATTTAGTTGTGAGTCTAAAAAACAGCAACCATGAGAATCAAAATACATTTAAAGAGTCATTTAAAACACAGAAAAGGCAGTGTGGTGTAATTTTTTTCAACTACAAAATCTAAGCACACTGCTTTTCTTTAAGACTTTGCATTTGAATTAGTAATGTCAAACAATTAAATTAGTTAAGGAGCCCCCAAAATAATGATACACTAGCAACTGTCATTTTTACCCAGACATTATTCTAGGTGTCTTATGTTCTTGTTTTCACAACCTCATATTACAGAGGAGGGAACAGAGCCCCAGAGAACTTTGCTCAGGGCCACAGAACTGTTTGAGCCTGGCTTGGTTACAACTCTAGAGCCCATGTGTTCTTTCCACTGCTCCATGCTTCTTAGCATATTAGACTTTATTTCCTACAGATTTTGAGAATTCTACTATGAGTCACTTTAAATAAATTTCATCTTTCTTTATGGGTTCTTTCCTTAAGTGAATTACCAGCTTAGCCATATACTGAATGCTGTGGTAAACAGGTTCCTTCTAGTGGACCCATGTAATCTGCTTCCACCAGGTGAGATGTAGGCTCACCAAGACTGTTTTTGTTTGATCCCAAAGCTGTCTATGCCAGTTTGATATTCTAAACTCATACATAAACCACTGAAACATATGTGTAGGAAGTGCTATATCTGAGACCTAAACTGGATGCTTTGGGAAGTCTTGATAACAAGGTGAGCTCCTAAAAATTACTATCAAAGTAAATGGGCAATATGTTGTTAAAAAGACTAGAAAAAAATGGTAAAGATCTACAGAATTTCTAGTCATATTGCTTCATAAAAGTCTTAAGCTCTTACATCACTTTAAAGAAGCAGAAAATGAAAATCAGAGAGGTTGTAGTGTAGATATAGTTTATTCAAGAAAGAAAGTTCCCCACTGATGGATCAATATTCAAAGAAAAGGCATTGATCCTATAGCAGAAGATGGAAGATGAATCGTAATAAATGAACATGTATTTTAGAAAATTGTTTAGCCTGTGTTATAATTTTTAAAGCTTCTTAAGTTAACTAACTTTGGTTAACCATTTTCCGGCTTGTACTGAATCAATCAAGAAAGTTTTAGTTAAATTGAAAGTGTACTAAAACACAGTGCTTCAGTATCAGCATGGCACACTTGGACCCTGAAAGTCTGAAAATGACACATTTTCAAGGCTATACATTTCAAGGCTATAAATAAACATAGTAAAATAAAATTCAAACTCCTTTTTCTAAGTTTCCCTCCCACTATGCCTCTTTCACTAGGCTGGACACACCTTCCCCAACGATGCCCTTACATCTCTGACTGCTCAGGGTCTCTCCTTCATTTGAATGGCCCCTCCCTGTATAAAATCCACTTGGACCTCAGTGCACACGCCACTTACTCCCTGAAGCTTTCCCTCTTCTTCCTACCTGGAAGTACCTTTTCCTCTTCCAAAACCCCAACACATTTCCGTATCTATTATCTCACATCCCTTTTAATTTGTTCCCCTTTTAATTTTAATGAAAGCTCCTATAACTGCATCCCATACTTGACAGCAAGCTTCTGAAGAATGGTATCAGCCATAAGATACAACCCACAGCTTTACCCAGAGGGTGCTAAACAAATATGGTAATAACGAAGTTAACTGAAGGACTATCACAATGAGACATTTTGTTGACATTCTCAGAGAGTAATTCTAAATTCAGCTTACCATAGCATTTGAAGATAAATGCTGTCAGCATAATTGAAAACAGGAGCTGCCAAAGAAGCTGCCACCAAGATTAACTGGACTGCTGTGTTTACCTAAAAAAAAAAGTCATAAATGAACAGTGCCAATCAGATCCTGTTCGCAGCTCGTGAGGTGAAGGCCCCGCCCAGCACAGTACCAGAGGCCCTCAGCACGCCTGCTGCTGTAATATCCCCGCCCAAGGACCTGGGGTTCACACCAGAGGGTGGCCTTCACTAACTGGCCCTTCTGTCTACACAGCTGCCTTTTCGGATGAGGATAAGGGTGTCTGTCAGGAAGTACCACTGCCCTGAATTTACAGCAATTCAACAACGTTGCAAAGTTCTTTCTCTGCCTTTTTTCAGTTGCCCATTATAAAACAGCCCTGTGAATACGGAAATAATTAAACTACTTCTTCACAAGTGAAAAGGCAATGAGTTAAGTGACTTGCCCACAGTCATAGCAGGTTACCGAACCAAACTAGAGCCCAGGCTTCCCAGCACTGCATTCAATGCTCCTCTCATCTGCCCATCTGTCAAACTCTATGAGATTAGAAAACTGAAATGCAGTCACCTCCAAGGGGGAGGTTCTGTAGGAAATGAGTAGGCTCCCCCACCCTATAAGACAGCATGGAGGAGGAAAGGAAGAAAACAGAACCAGAAACACTAGAGAGTCTCTCTATTCATCATTAGAGGTGTTCTGGGGCAGAGTGTGTGAAGCATGAATCAGTGGGTAATGTGCACAGAGAAGCATCTCTGTTCTATCATCCATTCTGTAACTAAAAGACAAGGATTCCATTTTGTTCTTAAAAATAAATAATAAAAATTGTCTGGAAAGCTTTTTGTAAGAATGAGGGTTTATTCTGTACTCTTTAAGCCACTTTCTAAGTAGTGCCACACTCAAATGTTGTACTTGATACAAATCTAAGTCACTTGAATCTAAAAAACACCCAGAAATGTAGGTAAAGTCCACCCCAGGGAGTTCTCTGGTATAAAATAATCACCCTCTGTCCCAAGATGTTGGGTGTGGAGTCTCTTACCTGTTAAACCTCTGTTACAAGGGATGCAGCACAAGAATGATTACAGCGGACTTATCAAGGCTACTACAAGAACAATGTGCCTTGAGAGGCATTCATTGTTTCTTTGCTGGGAGCCAAAACTGGTTATTGTCCCAATGAGGGCTCAGGAGGTAATGGACAATTAAGAGTATTAGTCATTTATTAGTGAGTAAAACTTTCTCCTACCTTTTTCCACATAATTATTGATCTTGAAAATGAAAGACCTGATTATATGGTGTTTTCACACAGAGAGGGGGTCATGAAACAAGGAAGGAATCTTCACAATCTCTTTGTATCTCAATCAAGATGCAATTACATTTTTACTCCCTCCACATTCCCTAGACAGTGGCCCTTATACCTTATTTGGAGACTTAAATTCTCGGACTACCAACACAAAACACTACACATATATTAGAGATCCAAAAAGCTTGAGGGACATAACATTTGAGTGAATGACCCCACTCTCTATCCCCTACAGTCAATGCACTTCAATGCGTCTCATTTTCAGTTGTTCCAGACTAAGGTTTACATTCATTATAATAAAAATTCACAAGGGAATAACTTACAAGGACATGTGTCTCTTACCTTGCTGATGAAGGTTGGTTTTAACCTAGCAGTGGCATAACAAGGGTTGAAATACTTAGAAAGTGTTCGCTGGCAAAGGACAAAAAGATAAACTTTGTTCAATTTTTCAAGTTGAAAACAAACATTCTGTTAATATATGTAGCTAACAGTTACTGAGTATTTACCGCATGCCTAGCTTTATACTAGATGAGCCATTTATCTGCATCTTCTTTTATTATCCTAAATGAGCAATATCTACATTCTTTATAAATCATACGTACGTCACTGAAAACAGATTTTTTAAATTGATAGATTTCTCAATTCCTCTCAAATTCTAACACTGTAACCATCATATTGTCTGCTTGACTACATCTTTTTACTTGTCACTGAAAACAGATTTTTTAAATTGATAGATTTCTCAATTCCTCTCAAATTCTAACACTGTAACCATCATATTGTCTGCTTGACTACATCTTTTTACTAAATAAACTCAATCAATCTCCTATAATCACTTTTTTTTAATAGACTAAAAAGGCAAATGAATAAAATACTGTTATTTTCACTGATTTGGGAACTAAAAGATGAAGTGATTATGCTCTGCTTACATGCTCAAATATTTATATAACCAATGAACAAATATGCAAACAAACCATTCCACATTCAGACATCTGTGATTTTAAATACCAGTTCTAGACAACCCATCATAGAGGCCAAATTAGGGGGGCATAATGATGCAAAACTCCTAACAGAGTTTGCCGCTCGGGACAGGGCTAGCTGCGATAGCTGGTTTGGGTTTTATGTGCTACTAACTGAAAAGATAGACTGAAAAATATGCTGTTTTAAAATTGATTATTCATGTGCTCACTGAACAAGTACCACAGTGGATGATTCCAATAACAAGATGACAGGTACATGTGTTTCAAGAATTTCTTGGATCAAATAAAAAATTGCCATAAATTATTCCCATCAAGTGAAACTCAAGATACAACAGAATAGTGCTTTTTGGCCTTAAGTTATACTAAAGGATTATTTTTTTAAACAAACTCACCGGTGTTGGAAGAGTTCGATATCTGACATAAAAAACAGCAGCAATCAACATCACATCTCTTGAAATTATCATGTAAGTAAGTGGAACTGAAAATCAAATATAAAATAATTTGCATTGGGATTCTGAAAATTACTAAAATATTATGCATACAATGAAGCCTCCTTCAACCTTACCATAAACTGGTGCTTCACACAAGTAAAAATTTTATAATACTTAAATTGGTGGTTTGGGGTCCAGAGAGTGAACCACTGATTTTTATACTTTTCCTTACCCCACCCTCAGAACAAAATGAAGGGCACACTACAGCTTTTAAAGTCTATGTCTGCCTTTCAGAATGTTGATCCTTTTGCTTTTTTTTTTCTTGCATGTATTTTTAAGCTGAAGTTATCAGTATCAGGTCTACACAGCCCTCCCACCCCCATCTCCTGTTGCTTCTCAGCTTTGTAAGCTTGCAAAAATGATCACCATGGTCGCTATAATTACACGACCTGAGATGGCAAAGAGATTAGAATGGATATCAGAGGATGTTAACCATTCTGGTGTCTCAGGAACCTTGTTTCCTTCTGTATTCTAGAATATTTTATGAAGTAAAATTTGCTACATATGTACTACTTGTAGAGAAACAAAATATTTTCATTCTTGTCTGGTCAGTTCCCACCCAAGCTATTGCTACTACTTCTGCCCCATTCATTCAATGAATTCTAATCAAACATGAATTCAACTTGTTAATAGTCCTGAGACTCTACAACATGGACCCAAGAGCCAGAGCCAGCAAAGTACTGTAAATAGATGCCCAAGGAGCTCCTATTCCCTTATTGAATGAGACAAAACAGCAGAGGCCTTGCTTTACTTTACATCCTTCTGTGCTATCAGAAATTTTACCATGAACATATATTGCTTTCAGAAGAAAATATATATTAAAAAAAAATCCTGAGGCTAACACTTGACTGTTGCATACTAAAATAAAAGGATCATAACTATCCCTTCCATAATACTTCCAAATAGTTCTTTTATGAATTACTTTTGAGGCTGTATTTATTATAGTCCTTTCCAGTTTAGACATTCTATTGCTTCTGCAACTTGAACAAAATCTCACCAATTAATTCCTGATTTAAAATTTTAATCTCTGTTGGCCACAGATATAAATGTTGATCCCTGGGCCTAGTCCTCTATTCCAGAGAAAATGCTTATCCAGTCAAGTCATGGCATATGGAGCACACAAAAGACACAGCTGTATGAGCCAGGGAACAAAACAAGCCAGCTATGACTGTTAGAAGCCTTTTTGTGCCTATAAAACAAACTTTTCTATAGCAATCATAGGCTGGCAAAAATCTAACAATAATTAGATTTTAAAATGCAGCAAACTCATGCAAATTACAAACAGTAAACCTCCTAAATATGACTTTAAGAAAACAAATATTGTTTTTCATCACCACTGAGAAAAAAAGATTAAGACTTAATTCTAAATGAGGGATTTCTGCAGAAGAGGAGATGAGGCAATTCAATACTCTGCAAAGACAGGTTTTGGTACTATTTACTACCGAAACTACCATACACTGGGCATCTGGCAGTGTTTTAAGCATTTCATACATATTATCGTTTAATCTACATATCAATTCCATGAAATAGGGATCAATACCCGCATTCCACAAAACATGGAAAACAAACCTCAGGCATATTATATTTATTAGGCTAAGGTCATCAGACACTAAGTAGTACAGCAAGCAATGGAACCTAGGTCTATGGAATTCACAGCCTATGCTAAGGCCAGTCCATTAGGCTCCAACCCAGCAGTGTGACTCACAATCAGAATCACCTTGAGAAAACTTTGTAAAAACACAGATGCAAGCTCCCTGAGGGGTTTGCATGCACAGCCAGGCAGAACCCTGCCGTACCAATTAATCTCTAAGGCCTCTGCCAACTGACAGTATACATACAGGCTCTGATTTTGGTTCTTTGGGCAATCTTATCCATTTCTCTGGCTTTCACATCTTCTTTCTAACTATTCCTGCTTCCTCTCCTGGCCTCCCCTTCCTTTTCCTCCAGGGCTAAAGCAGCTTTCATTTTGCCTGAGAGAGTATGATAGTGTATTGGCAGGAGCAGGAGGGTGTACAGTGTGTCAAGGATTGCTTTGAGGTTTTTCTCCTTTCTTGCTCACTCTGTCTGAAATATAGTTAAAGTTTGACAACAAGAAGGTTCCTCATTGGCAAATTTTATTAGATTAATGGGAAATTAATAAAATCAAATTTTACATATTAATCTGTAAAATCACTTTCAAAATTAAATCCCATTTAATATGCAAATCACTTTTACATATTAAAAACAGTCATTATCATTATCAGTATCATAGGTTATTGTGTCAAAAATAAATTTAATCACAGAATTTATTTAAACCACAATAAGAATCTGCTATATCGTAAACCAAAAATAACATAACCACATGGAAAGGAACTCCTAGGTGGTAAATGTGGCAGAACAAATGCACATAAGGAGAGATTAACTTAGATTCATCTTCTACACTGTTATGCTGTCACAAATAAAAAAATTTGTTTTCATCCTTTTCTTCCCTCCCTTAGAAAGAGCAAGAAGAAAAGAAGAATTATTTCCTAGCTGAGGAGAAAGCAAATTCTTACTCTTGAAGAAACAAGGCTACTCAAATCAAGGTGGATGGAACTTTTACAAAAATGCAGCATAAAAATAAGATGCAAGACAGCATATGTGCATCTCTCTCCCCAAAACCTTTTTGAAATGACAGTAAAGGAATGAAAGGATATAAAGACACAAAGAGAACAGGAAGAGGAGACAAATTTCAAAGTTTTCACTAAGTTTATTAGCAATAACTACCTTAGCAGAATGAGGAGATCTGAAATTTAAGTCCTTCAGAAAGGGACACTCACTTATTACAAAAGCAAATAAGCAGCAGGCCACCTCCGACTGGAGAAACCCGTGAAGCCCACAGAAAGAGCAGTTAGATACCTCCCCAGAATGCTCCCCTAACCCATTCCACTAGGTCTTTACCCCAGGACTCTTGCTCCTTACAGCTAAAAGTGATCTTCACATTGTTAATTGGTTGAGGGGAAGAAAAATCTCAAGAGTACTACTGCATGATACATAAAAATTATTTCACTTCCAGTGCCCATAAACAAAGTTTTATTGGAATACTGCCACACCTACTCATTTATGTATTTTCCATGGCTGTTTTCATATGCCATAGCAGAGCTATGTAGTTGTGACAAAGACCACATGGCCCACAAAGCTTGAAATATTTATGATATAGCCCTTTACAGAGAAAGAGCCAATCCTTGTTCTACAAGTTAATCTCTGAACATAGAGGTCACTAGGGTGCAGGGTGATTAAATGAAGGTCAACATACTGAATACTGAGATGACATCCAGCCTCCTCCTAAACACAGGTGGCAAGGCTTCTGCAATCCCCAAGCAGCAGATGGAGAGCTCTCAGCTACAGAAAAGACCTAAAGGCACTGAGAGTTCAGGTCTAGGTGGTCCCAGACTGTTAACATTCCTAGGTGCAGGGCAAAATTGAACAAAAAAATCTCTAGAAGTGATGCCATCATTGTTCACATCAAAATATTACTCCAAATTATTTTTCAAATATGAATACAATTTCTAGAGGGTCAAAATACCAAAGACACAAGATACCACAAAAAGAAGAATCAATAGAAACAACAGGCAAATGAAAGAGACCCTCAAAATACACAAGATTTTAGAATTGTAAGAGTTTATAAAACTGAGCTTACTATAATCAAAGAGATATAAAAATGATTGAAAATTTCAGCAGTAAACTGAAAACTTTAGATGATTTGTAACTTTAAAAAAATACAAAAGCAAATAAGAATTAAATGAATTTTGCATAGCTGAAGAGAGAATTAGTATTCTGAAAGAGTAAGCTCATTTGTAACCACCTAGAATGGAGCTCAGAAAGACAAAATGAGGTTAACATACAGAAAAGAGGCTGAGACACAAAAGATACAGTGGGAAAGTCTAACACTGGGATACTGTAATCCCAAAGAGGAGAAAAACAGACAACAGTAGCATCTGAAGATTATGGTTCACAATTTTCCAGAACTGATTAAAGACACCATAAAATGCCCAACAAATCCCAAGCAAGGTAAATACAAAAGAAACTCATACTAAGAAATATTATTGTCAAACTGTGGAAAACCAAAGACAAAGAAGAAATTTTTAAAGCAGCCAGAGTAAAAAGATTATCTTTGGAAAAAAATAGAGTTAGAGTTATTTTCTTACCAACAAAGGAAATGAGAAGACACTTGAATGATGCATTAAATGTGCTAGAAGAGAATAAATAACAACCCAGAATTCTATACTCAACAAAAATATCCTTCAAGAATAAAGGCAAAATCAGAAAGAAAAGACAAATACTGCCTAATATCACTTACATGTGGAATTCTTAAAAAAATGCTGAACTCACAGAAATAGTAAAAAAAAATGGTTAGGGTTAGGGTTAGGGTTAGGGTTAGAAATAGTAAAAAAGTGGTTGCCAGACAGTATATACAGAGAAGACAAGTAATGATTCTATAGCATCTTACTATGTTGATGGGCAGTGACTGTAATAGGGTATGTGGGGGGAACTTGATAATAAGGGAAGTCTAGTAACCATAATGTTGCTCAAGTAACTGTACATTAATGATACCAAAAAAAAAAAAAAGTGTTTGCCAGAGGCTGGAGGGTAGGGGAAACAGAGAGAGGTTGGTAAAAAGGATAGATCATCCTGTTTGAAGATAAATCGTCTGAGGATCTAATGTATAACATGGTGACTAAAGTTGATAACATTGTATTCTGTAACTGAAATCTGCAAAGAGAACAGAACTTAAATGTTCTCAAGCACACACAAATAAAAAGGCAAAAATAAAAATATTTTCAGAGAAACAAAGAATGTGCCACCAGTAGACCTTTATTAAAAGTTTCTAAAGATATACTTTAGACAAAAGAGAAGTGATTCTAGATGGAAGGTTTGAAATACATCCAACAATATAAACCAAAAAAGTAAGTATGAAGACACACCAAAATGACCACTGACTTTATAAACAATATCATGTGGGTATAAGAAACATAAAATTAAAGTTTGACAACAATAACCTAAGTCAAGTCAAGAATAAATGGAGTCAAAGTATTCTGAAAAAGGGATGCATAACTAATAATCAGGATGAAAAGGGGAACACATCATGACATATCCTATAGACATTAAAAAGTCAATGTGGGTACTATAAATAGTTTATGGTAAACTTTTAAAAATATAGCTGAAATGGACAAGGTCTTAGAAAACATCACACCTTACCAAACAGATAAAAGATGAACCAGGAAACATGAATTATCCAACAAAAAATGAATCACCTATTTGAAAACTCTTTCCCAAAGAAAACTCAGGCCTCAATGGCTCCAATTTAAAGAAAGAATTATTTAAAAGAATATTTAACCTTTATTTAACAAGGAATAAATACAATCTCACACAAACATCTCCAAGGAAAAAAATAGATAAGTAGACTCCCTAACTTATTTTAGGAGATGAATATAAACTTGATACAAAAACCTAAGAAGGATATTCAGAAAAAAGAATTTCAGGCCAATGTCATGAATGTAAATAAGAAATCTTCAACCAAATATTAGCAAACAGTAGTATCTCCATTATATATCATGACCAGGTTGGATTTATATCAGGAATTTCAGGTTGGTTTAACATCAGGAAATCAATAGTGTAATTCACCACACATTAACAGCCTAACAGGGGAAAACCACTCTCATACAACAAGAGGACAAAGAATTTGATGAAATTCAATATCCAACTATAATAAAAACTCATAGCAAATTCACAATAAAAGTGAACTTCCACAACCTGAAAAGAGGATATCTACCTATAAGAAACATCATATTTAGTAGTAAAATGTTAGTTTTCCTTTTGAAATTGGAAATAAGACACAGACAACACTCCTATTCAGCATTGTACTATCTAGTATAGTAAGTCAAATAAAAAAAGAAGGACTGGAAAAGAAGAAATACACTTTCATTAGTTACAGACTATACATAATTGAGAGTGTAGAAAATCCAAGAGAATTTACAATTATTAGAACAAGAGTTTAGCAAGTTTTGCAAGACACAAAAATCAACATTAGAACTGATTTTTATCCTATCAGCAATAAGCAGTTATTATAAAATGAAATATAAAAAAGCTACCATTTATAAAAGCATCAATTCCTCTAAGATCAAGAAAAAGACAAGGATGCCCACTCTCCCCACTTTTATTCAACATAGTACTGGAGGTCCTAGCCATGGCAATCAGACAAAACAAAGAAATAAAAGGCACCCAGATTGGTAAGGAAGAAGTCAAACTGTCACTGTTTGCAGATGACATGATATTGTACATAAAGAAGCCACTCCAAAACTACTAGAACTAATACCTGAATTCAGCAAAGTTGCAAGATACAAAATTAATACACAGAAATCTGTTGCATTCCTATACACTAATGAGAACTAGCAGAAAGAGAAATCAGGAAAACAATTCCATTCACAATGCATCAAAAAGAATTAAATACCTAGGAATAACCTAACCAAGAAAGTGAAAGACCTATACCCTGAAAACTACAAGACACTCTTAAGAGAAATTAAAGAGGACACTAATAAATGGAAATTCATCCCATGCTCTTGGCTAGGAAGAATTAATAGTCAAAATGGCCATCCTGCCTAAAGCAATCTACAGATTCAATGCAATCCCTATCAAAATACCAACAGCATTCTTCAACAAACTGGAACAAATAGTTCTAAAATTCATATGGAACCACAAAAGACCCTGAACAGCCCAAGCAATCCTGAAAAGGAAAAATAAAGCAGGGGGGATCTCACTTCCCAACTTCAAGCTCTACTACAAAGCCACAGTAATCAAGACAATTTGGTACTGGTACAAGAACAGACCCACAGACCAGTGGAACAGAATAGGGAGTCCAAATACTAACCCAAACATATATGGTCAATTAACATATGATAAAGGAGCCATGGATATACAATGGGGAAATGACAGCCCTTCAACAGCTGGTGTTGGAAAAACTGGACAGCTACATGTAACAGAATGAAACTGGATTACTTACTGCCTAACTCCATACACAAAAGTAAATTCGAAATGTATCAAAGACCTGAATGTAAGTCAGGAAACCATAAAACTCTTAGAGAAAAGTAAAAAAATAAATAAATAAAAGCATCAAAAACTCAGTACCTAGGAATAAAACCTAATTAAAAATTGTTTATTACCTCTCTGGAGAGAACTGTAATGTTCTGACATTGTAAATGTACATAAAGTATATATACATGTATTTGTGGACTGCATGGCTCGATAATATAAAAATATCAATTCTTTCAAACAGACCTATAAACTCAATGCAATCCCAATTAAAATTGCAACCGGTTTTTCTGGGGAATTTGTAAGGCTCACTCTAAAATTCACATACAAATAGAAAGGGGTAAGAATATCAAAGGAGGAGGGACTTGCTTTACTAGATAACAAGACTTTCAGCAGAGCAATCATAATTAAGGATGGTACTGGTGCAAACAGACAAATAAATGGGGAAAAACTAGACAACCGAGAAAAAGAAAGAGAGAGAGATAGGGGAGGGGAGGAAGGGAAGAAAGAAGGGAGAATGAACGAGCAGGAGAGAGGGAGACCACAGTGAGGCTGGCAAACACAGACTTTTCAATAAAAAGTGCTGGTATAACTGGGTATCCAGAGAAGCAATTAGAAAGTTCATTTTTAAGAGAGATTTAAAAAAAAAAACAACAGCAACTAGGAATAATGTAAAAAAAAAAATCATCAAAGCTTTTCAATATAAAACATAACCATATATAAAGGAAAAGGTACCAGAATGTCATGAAACTTTTCAATAAGGTGGAATCTGGAAGTCTTCAGAACACTACAAAATTCTCAGTGAAAATAACCTACAGTTGAAAAGTATGCCCTGTTCAAATCTCCATCACCTATGGAGGGTAGAATAAAGACATTTTAGATGTTTTTTAGATAAAATTTTAGTGGTCTTCAAAATAGACATTATAGACATTTAAAAATTCGGCCACCATGCTGCATCCTTGCACAGGAAACCAACAGAGGCTGCACTCCACCAAAAGGAGGATCATAACAAGAAGTGATGGAAGCCTGGAAAAAGACACCTAACACAAAAGACAGAAAATGGAAATTCCCAGAATGATAGTGAAGGCAAGTCTCAGCTTAAAAAGCAACCTACACCAATTATTTCGGTAAAGCTCACTGCAACATTACCCATAATATCAAAATCTGGAATCAATTTCTATGTTTAACAGGGAAATACTTGCCCAGCCTTTGTAAAGCAATACAACAAAATACAAAATAAGTCTGAAAAACTGGAAGCATAAAAGCATGCATGTGCATGCATACAACAACATCTGAATTTTGAATAATTTCAACAGAATGCTCCTTAGGTTCTTTTTTTCCTGAAAATTATATTCATTAGAATGAGAGTACCCCTGTCCCTTCAACACTCCCCAACCACATACACACAACTCTGACTTTCACAGAGGCACAAAAATATGAACATTAATCCAATTCATCTTTTAATTAGTATGGAGACTTCAAAGCCAATGGTAAAGGAGAAAAAGAACCCTAGTTCAGGACCACACTGGACTGGAACACCAGTCCAGCATCAGTCACAGCATGTCACTGAAGGGCCACGCAGCAGCGGCTTTGTTCTCAGATTCTGTTCTAACTCTTGGAAATAAACAGTTTAAACTGAGGGAGAAAAACTGAGAAATACAGCTGAACTAGAAAATGAACAACCAAAAAAGCACATGCAAATTACAAAGCCAAAGATCACAACATTGTTAGAAAGAGTATTCAGATAATGTACACAATATATGTATGCTTTCAAGTTGCATAATAGTGTCTAAGTAATCGTTACATAAAAATTTATAGACATCTTCAGGATTTCATTTCAGCTCTCACTTGTTATGATTAAATTATACTAAATAATAGACTTAGGAACACTTTAAACTGCTTTCAAAAGGCTAGGCACCAAGAATAAATAAGTTTCAAAAGATTCTAGACTAATATGAATTATACTGTGAAACATTATGTGCTTCATTTTTAACTTTAAACAATCTTACCAAGAAAACAACAGATTCTATCACTATAACAGGGATGTAAACACTAAAGTAAACCAAAGAGCTTGATAAGCAACACAGTTCAATAGTTTAAAATCAGGGAAACAGTCTAAATCTGAAAAATATATACTTAAAATAAAAATTATTTGTTTCTCTATCAAGAGAAATCCTAAGCTGACTAATGTCATTCTTCCCTATGCTATTTAAAAGTACGCATGACGGCGTTCTTACCTGGAATAAGATCTGCATAGGTCAAGCTAACATATAAGATACTGATAAGTATTTTATCAGCAAGTGGATCAAGAGCACTTCCCAAAGCTGATTTTTGATTGGCCCAGTTTCGAGCAATAAATCCATCCAACTGAAAATAGAAGTTTTTTTTAAATAAATGTCATAATAGGTACAGAGTAGGTTATCTTGAAGGTTAAAGAGATACCAGAATAATAACTATACTTTCATAAAATGTCAATAAAACCACTTGTTTCTTATCCCCAAATTTTCTCATTCTCTCACTAGTGTATGTTTAGCTTTCAAATCACCAACTGGTCAGAAAATAATTTCAGTTTCTACAGCCTTCCATTATTTCTCAATGTTTTCAAAATGCCCCTTTGCAGGATGAACCCCGACACAAATTCTCAGATGGAAAAAACCCAAATAAAACTCATGAAAGGCATGACTGACAGAGCATGGACTAGGAGACCCCTCTTCTGAGCCTTCTAACTTAGGCTATTTCACTACAGCCAAATAGCTGCTTTTATGTGCAAGGACTACCTTTCATCTGTGAGACTCTCCAAGTCACTCCTATCTACTTTTCTATAAAGTGATCTAAGTTTTACCTATTATTTATTTTTAAATTATGTTGATTTTGTTTAGTGCCATGTTAATTCCATGTCTGATTGTATTTACATGATTCATATTTAACTAAAAAATTCCATGTCTGACTGTATTTATATGACTCATATTTAACTAAAAAATTCAAAGCCTGTACCAGGCTTACTGAAAAATTTTGATATGAAAATTATTTATTCACTATTCTTGGAAACAAATTGTGTTTTAAAGCAGAGGTCAGACCTGGTTGCCAGTGGGCCAAACGGGGCCTGCAGGCTGTGTTAGTTTGTCCTGCCCAGAGCTTTTAAAAATATGAATTAGTAGCCAACATTTAAAAACTCAAAGTCTTAACTACAAAAATGCAAATCTTTAGCCTTAATTGAGAAATGGAAAGATCTGATCACCCTGAAGCCACAAAACAGACTGAAACCAAGTACCATCTAATCCCCATTCCACTAGGCTGATTTGTTCTGGTTTTCCAATCCCTACCTGGCTTTTACTCATTTTACTTAACTTCAAGCTTCAGCAAATGTTTGAATTGTCTAGTCCTACTTTCTAGTCCTATCTCCAAGGAAAAAGATCAAATTAATTTAGACATAATTTAACATGGTACATTTTACAGGATAAATAAATCCTCCATAATCCAAGTATTCCAATGAGTTTGAGGAGACAATAGCAATATAGGACAATGGTTAAGAATATGCTCTTTGGCAACAGAATATAACTGCTTCAAGTCCTGACTCAGCACTTGCTAACTGTGTGACCTTGGGCAAGTTAGCTGGCCTAAGCCTCGGTTTCCTCATTTATAAAACAGAGACAGCATTACCTACCTCAAAAGGTCTTCAGCACATACTGTGATTAATACTTGTTCAGCACTTAGTACTTCATAAACCCTCAGAAAAAGCAGTCACTACCTATTACTATCACAACTGAAAGAAGCTATTTTCTTCTCAAGTACACTAGAGGTAACAATGTCTAACAGAAAGTGCATAGAACTGGGAGTTGAGGCCTTGGAAGATTGGTTTCAGTCCAGTTTTTTATCCCAGGGAACTTACCATGTCCCACTCTTTCACTGTCGTCACTCCCTCTTCCTCACTGTCCCTCTACCCACCTTGGATTCCAAGGTCACCAACATCCTCATCCCTCTGCAAACATCTCCCTCAACTTGACTACACACAACTATCCATGTACCCCAACAGCTGAACACTGCTCAAGGAAAACACACAAATGGGCTGACAGGTCTCAACTCAAATTCATGACCACAAATCTACCGTGGGCACTCAACACTGCCTGGCAATCCTCCCCCTGCCTGTGCTGACCGTCTCTTCTTACACTGTCGGCCCTCACCGCAAACCTAGTCCATCCCTCCCAAAGCCTCTCGTGCTACCTCATGATCTTATTTCCCTTGAAACAGAGAAACACTGTTGGCACTCCCTCATATTCCTACGTCCAGAATCGTACTCTCTGCCTTCCCTGCTCCCTGATCCCAGACCCTCTCACTGTCTGTGATTTACCTTGCCTTCCCTCTCTCTCCTGCATCATCAACCTCCTTTCTTCACTTACTTAATCAATTAATTAACAACAAAAATTTCCCTAGTATATAGCTTTAAAAACTATCCTTCTTGACCCTATTTCCTTATTCCTCTACAAAACAAAGCTTCCTCTATGTCTACAGTCATTACCACCTCACATTTGCTCGCCAACAACTCTGACTTTCCCCACTGCTCCAGAGATGGTACTTATAAAGGTCACCAATTCTACATTTTTTAGCTTACTTTACCTCAACCCAAATGAAGTACTGTCCTCACTTAACTTCTGGGACATCTTATTGCCTAATTTTCTTCTTTTCTCACCAGCTATTCCTTCTCAGTGTTCTTTAAGGGCTCCTTCTCCATTGCTCCACTTACTGCTTACTTCTCTTCTCTTACTACAGCCTAGATAATTTCACCCAGACATGACCATCTATATGCTGATAACTCACAAATCTGTCTCTAACCATGATTTCCTCCAACTCCAAACTACTATATTCAACTTCCTAGTTGATACCTCTAAGTGTACAGGCTTAACAACTCTTGGTATTTTTCCATAAACCCTGTCTGACCTTGAAAGTTGCCCATCACAAAAGATGTTACCTCCATGCATCTGGATGTTGAAAAAGAAAAAAAAAAACAGTAACAGCATTCAACTCCTCTTTCTCTCACCACATATATGCAATACATCAGCATAACAATGCTAAGTTCAAAACATATCCCAAACCCATTTGCTTACCTCAACTCCAAATTCCCGCCCCTGTCCAACTACCATCACCACTCCCCTAGGTAACTAACTGTAAGCCTTCTAACTAGCTTCTCTGCTTCTGCTCTTGCCTTCCTATCCCCTACTTCCGTCAAACAATATAAATCAGGCCTTGTCATTCTTCTGCTTAAACCCTTCAGGAGTCCAGCTATCCACCCAGTAGCTAATCCAGAGGCATCAAAACCTCTGTAAATGAGAAATATGGTGCCGGGAAACTCAGCTTTCCATAGACATTGCCTTACATATTACAAAACTATAAGCGAGGCCTTTTCCATTCAGAGAATGTTGTAATCTCATGTGGCAGCTAAAAAAAACACAAACAGAAAAAGAGCAAATCCAATAACTAAAAAAGATCTTGTGTTGTGTTAAAAAAACTCCATTACCGGTATAAAGGCCTTTGACAGATTTTCATAATGAATAAAGGCCTTCAGGCTTCAGAGATAAAAGTATTGACAAAAGAAGAGATGGTGAGAATATGGAAAAGTGGTAACAAATAGGAGCTGAACTCTGGAAAAAGAGGCAGGAACCATTTTGAGAGATTATTTTTGATGTATATTTAGAAATACCATATAACAATGCAAATACCCTCCTTTGTTTATCCTGCAAACTCTTCAGTTAATTCTCTAATGCTCACCAATGACACAGGGCAGGTGGTATTTTATTTCTATGAACCTCAAAAGGAATAGCTGATGATACAAAGAAAGATGCAGCTTTTATTAATAGAATATCAGCTTCTTTATTCTCACTAAATAAACATCAAATAATGCTTTTCAAATGTAAGTCAGTTTGAAGAAACACCAAAATCATTATTGCCTGTATGGGTGCTCACATGGATCTCAAACCAGCCTTGCACAGGAATATATTGTATCTATTTCTACATGCTAACTTCACCCTGATTTAAAATTTTCCTCTATATTTTCACTATTTTACTCAACTGTGTTTTTGTAGGATATGTAGGTCTATAAGCCATTTCAAATCCCTTATGAAACAAGGTGGGTAATAAATACAAATGATGTCATTCATGATAGCTGGTCAGTCCACAAAAGCTTACTTAACACAAAATGTACTCTTCTGTTATAGAACTATTTTCCATATTCTAATTTGAAATAACCTGAAAAAGTCTTTCCCTCCCCCAAAATTGACACAATGGTGCCAAGGAGCTTTTTTCTCATTTGTCTACCTGCTAATGGAGTGGGAGAAGCAATGATGCCTAATGCCTGGCCCAGGACAAGGTCTTCCGCTGGGTGGTCAGAGATGTGTGGAGTAGGAATCAGGTGCCAAAACTGTGGGGTGCCTATGGCCTCCCAACAGCATAAACCTGCACAGCTCCAGCCTCTGTTCCTGGTCACAACAACTGGCCCATTGTTTCCCTCTCCACTAATAAAACCAACTGCTGTTGCAGATCAGAGTATAGAAAAATAGTCTCAGAGATTCTCTCCGTCATTTCTATTTCCAAAGCAAATACATGACTCCTTCGGAATTTCTAAGGGTTTTTCTCTTGAAAAAAGGTTAAAAACCAAGAGTAAAAAGCTCCCCCTCTTATGCCTCCCAACAACCTTCACTTCCTTCCTTAGCTCATATAAATAATAACAGAGTCCCAAGTAGATGCTAAAGACAAGTCCTATACAAAGTATCAGGTCAAATTTGAAGATTTCCTTCCAAAGAAAAGCAGTCAAAGGCTATGCTATTTCAGTGTAGTAGAGCCTCTGAGATATGGAAGGCAAGCAAACAGGGGAGTGCATTTACAACTTACCAAATCAGTTAGCCCAGCTAAGGCAAAAACTCCTAGTGCAGTATTAAAATCCTCTTCAATAATCAAATAGCCCAAAACTGGGGCCAAGCCAATTCTTGTCATTGACAACAAATTTGGGATTGTCCATGGGTTTTCATACTGAAACACAAAGACGGTATTTAAATTAAATACTATAAATTCATACTTTAAATAACTATATGCATTAGAAAAATACACTTCCATCATTATAAGGGTCCAAAGCTACATAAACTTTACATTCTGTACTTTAAATCGAATTTCTAAATCCATTGTTTTTTTACAGACAAAGCTCTGAAAGTGTCAACAATAGAGAAGATGAAGATAAATCATGTACCCAAACATAACTAAAGTGTCTGCTACACAGAGAGATTTCCCTCCTTAAGAGAGAAAGAACAAACGTGTTATCTCCCACAGAGCTCAAGCCTTTAATAGGCGACTTCACCATTAAAATTCAAAACTTTCCACACTCTGCTTTTAAAAGTAAAACTTCAGGAATATCTTACACTTCAAGTAGACAGTTTAGAAAGTGTCAGAAAGAAGCCAAATTATCAACAATAGGCATTTTGGCTTAAAACATTTATTGCAAATAACCTCCCTCACTTCTCTATACACACCCATCAAAAGAATATTAAATGTTATAAACAGTGTACGAAAATATGAATGAAGAGGGAAAAAATACTTAATTCTATAACTTCATCACTGAATTGGAAGACTGCTGGGGAAAAAATAGAGTTAGGAAAAAAGATTGACAACCTTGGGAAATAAGGAGAAATTTTGTAAATCTGTTCAAAGTAGCCATGGAAATGTTAAGATTTTCAACTAGATTCCAAAGGCTTTCACAGCTCCCATGTGGGAGCTTTATGATTCCTTGGAACTTCATTTGAAGTCAAGCTGTTTTATTCTAGCACTAACCAAGACTTCCTGGCAGCTGCTCTGAAGGCACTCCTTGCTAAACGAAATCTGTTTCATGAGAGAGAATTTCAACTTTAAAAAGCCTCAGCCTAACAGAGCTAAGATAACCCTGCACAACGGGGTACAGAAAGAACATGCAGAAATGTCCTTCCCTGAAGCCTGGATTCTTTTCTTCCCTGAGTCAAGGCTGCCAATTCTACACCAAGGATTATCACCTCACAAGACTAACCCTACCCTCTTAATCAGTAACCAATTGCCTGAACCTTAATTTTGATTTTTCTAAAAAGTGAATTTCCAGTTCAAAGAAATCTTTTTAAACTGCACGGTCCATCCTGTAAGAAAAGGTATTTCTCTAAAGGTACGAAATCTGTGCTTATAAATAGAGCACAGCCAAGAAATGTTCAACCAGCTGGGAGGGATAATGGGCCTGCTGTTGGTGTCAGGTGGCAGAATGCTATCATTGAAAGCTACAGAAAAACTTCACATTCTCCAGGGAACAATCACCAAACAAGAAGCAATACAAACCTTTACTCAAGCACCTTTTGTTCAAATTAAACATTACATAATTAAATGGAAACATTCCTGGAACATAATTCCAAATTCAAGTTGAAAGGTCAGAGTGTTTCAGAGTCCAGAGGAAAAAAGTCTGTTGACCATACTGCCCTACAGAATAAGTCAAACACTAACTCAATGTTAGAGAAACTGAGAGGGAAAAGAAAAAAAAACGGGCAAAGCAAAAGGTCAGAATAGAGAGCCCCAAAATTAATCTCAGAGAGAACCACTGGGCAAAATTAAAGACAAAGTTGCCAAAAGCCAGATCTCTTCATTTGGTAAATTAATAAGCAGGACTGAATGTTACTGCAACAGTGAAAGGGGGTTCTTTTTAGCTCCACATAAAATATTTCAATTAAAATAAAGTACCTCATTAACTTCTAACTATTAAATTTGTAAAAGTTTCTAAATTAAAATTAAGAGAGCTAATCTCAAATTACCCAACCAGATAACCTGTGGCATACTCGACCAACTACCGCGTTCTGGGATGGGCTGCAGCCCGGATGTGGCAACTTCAAAGCACCCCGCATTCAAACCTCCATATGCTTTGGCTATTAGTGGAGCTGAGATGCCTGCCAGATGTGGCCACCTCAACCCATGCTGTACAACTGATGAAAGCAGGACAAGGGCACACTGAAGACATAACAATTGAAGATGTAATAATTGCGTAAGTGTTCCTAACATGACATCAAAAGCCCTCCCACCCTCATACTCTGGTGTTTTGTGCTCGGGGAAGTATTTCAACAGGTAAGTAGACAATATTTCCTTCCCTTACCTCAAGAACGGAGTTTTAACCTTTTTCTATAAATAGACATTAAAGGATCGTTTAACTACGACTTAATTTATTTAATCAACGTTCATCTTAAAATATGTAAGGTCACCGAAGGTCAACCAATAGTGAGCCAAACCTGTACAAGCAATCAGAAGGGCTTATGTACCTTTCTGACGAGTTCCACTCACTTGTCCTAAACGCTGGGGATTCACTTGAGGGAATTAAAAATAGGCTTTTAATAAGACATGTGAAGGGTATTTTTACCAATGCAACATCCACAGAAGCCGGTGCCGCTAAGGGTGCGAATAAAAAAAGAGGTGGGGGAGAAGGGAATCCTAACGACCACCGACACTTAAGGTGGGCTCGACTGGCACCCCTCAACTTCATCCCGACCGAATGACTTGCCCGTGACTTCTCTTCAGAGAACGGCTGAGAAATTCTGAAGCGGAAGCTTCCGACCTGGGCCGGCCAGCGCACGTTATTCGTGTCCAGGACGGAGCCCCGGCAGGGCGTGCGACCCCGGCCCAGGGCTGCCCCTCCTCCTCCTCGGTACGTACCAGGCTGGCGGCGCTCGCCGGACCCCACCGGCCGCCTCGGGCCTTGGCGGCTCTGTCTGCTCTGGTC